AGCATCTCCTGTTGGCGAGGCAGATTGGCATCGAGCATGTCGTGGTTTTCATCAACAAGGCCGACGCCGTGGAGGATAAGGAGATGGTGGAGCTGGTGGAGATCGAGATCCGCGAGCTGCTTACAGAGTTTGGCTACGATGGCGAGAACACGCCTGTTGTGGTGGGCTCAGCCCTCTGTGCCCTGGAGGTAAAGGGGAACGCTGCGTTGATCTCAACTAGGGTTGAATCAACTTTTAGTTTACGGCCTGTTGGTAAATTCTGAATCTTCGATTCAATCAGTGTGCAAACCGATTCCATTTTTCTTTTGCTTCTTCTCAGAACAGAGAACCTGAACTAGGCGTAAATGCAGTGATGAATTTGCTGGAGGTTGTGGATTCTTACATTCCTCTCCCCAAACGAGAGCTCGAAAAACCGTTTCTTCTGCCCATTGAAGGGGTGTATTCAATCCCAGGTATGAAGAGACGACAAGGAATGCAGCCTGCACATTTTTTATGTATACACTGAACTGTAAGGCCAACAATTCAGGGTGATTATTGTTGGTATGTAAATTAAAGCATCTCAAAAGGAGTCAGATGGTGGAAATGCTTTTAATTTGAATGTTATCATTTGTGTCCTTCAGGCAGAGGTACTGTGGTGACCGGCACCATGGAGAGGGGAATCATCAAGAAAGGAGACGAGTGCGAGTTTGTGGGCCACAATCGCAGCTTCAAGTCAGTGGTTACAGGTGAGTGAAAAGAAAAAGCAACACTTGTCTGCCTGCACGGCACGTTGTACATCGATAAAGAAAAAAATTATTGAATTTATGTACGTAGACGATGAGGATCTTAATAAAAAAAATTGTGTTTGTGTATATTTACAAAAATTATACTTTGCTGTTGGTCCTCCTTTGCTCAGGTATTGAGATGTTCCACAAGTCTCTGGACCGGGCTGAAGCTGGAGACAACCTGGGTGCTCTGGTCCGAGGACTGAAGAGAGAGGACTTAAGGAGAGGGATGGTGTTGTGCAAACCCGGATCCATCAAGCCACACCAGAACATCAAGGCCCAGGTCTGGGAGCTCAACGTTGCAGCTGTTATTGGCTAGTTTTAAAGTATCAGCTGTGTTTTTTTACATTTTTTTATGCATAGCTATATAGTTATCCAGTAAACTAAACTGTGATGGTGTGGACGTGCTTGTGCTTCCTTTATTACAGGTGTATGTTCTGAGTAAGGAGGAGGGAGGCAGACACAAACCTTTTGTCACCAACTTCATGCCCGTCATGTTCTCTCTAACCTGGGACATGGCCTGTGGAGTCACTCTGCCCAAGGACAAGGTCTGTGTGTTTCAACTTGTCAATAAAATAGATGCTGTAGTTCCCAAGATTTGATCCAACACACAGCAGGTCACCGAGCTCGTGCTTGTTCAGAACCTTGTGGTCTTGATGTGTCGCGTTGAGTCACTCGAACAATGAAGAACAGAAACCTAAATCGTTGTGTTCTCTGTGCAGGAAATGGTGATGCCTGGCGAGGACACGGCCTTGATGCTCACGCTTCGGCAGCCGATGGTGGTGGAGAAAGGCCAGAGGTTCACCCTGAGAGACGGAAACAAGACCATCGGCACCGGCCTGGTCACAGAACTCCTGGCGAATACCGATGACCAGTTCAACTGGGGCTGAAGAGAAACTCTGTTAGAAAACTGGGGAGGGGGGGAGAGGGAGAGGGGGGGTTAGGGAGGAAGGGTGTGTGGTTGTCTGTGTCTGGTCAAATAATTATTGAAATATTCAAATCAAGAACATAAACCCTTGCACAAACCTCAAACAGGGAAGGACTGAAAGGAATTTGTGGCTCTGTTGTGCAGGTTCACCCAACCGAAATACATGTTTAGCTCTGTCTTTATGTTAAAATGCCAGACTGTCCATTTATGTAATAAAATGTATTTAATAAGATAATGGCTCTTTTATTCTTGTGATAAACTTTTGCTAGCAATATCAATTTTTAGATAAAATGAAAAAAACATTTATTTTTTTCAGTCGGGAAACGCACAGGTCTTTTTGAATAAGGCAATGGCTCAGTTATAGTCAAATGTGACATTTAGCCAGCACAACCTGGATCAAGGCAGGCAAATTTAATTAAGTCACTACTAATTTGATTATTTACATTATTTTCCTACTCTGGCAAATCCAAATGTGCGTGTTAAAGTATTGAAGGATGTGCACATTACTGCCTGTTACAAGATTAATATGCCACATGAGGGCAGCAAAGTTGCCCAAATATTTGCCAAATTGTTATCCTTGTTTCCTCGGCGTCCTTTGAGGTGGTTTGACAGTCTCGCTCTCCTTTGATACATAATGGAAGATTGAGAATTAATTTACAAGAATGTTTAGGATTTACTCAAAGAGTGTACTATGCATTCTACAAATGATGAAATATCCAATCATATTTTTATATTATAATTTATCTATAACAAGCAATGAAATTCAATGATACAATTAAGAAATAAGTACTATAAGTACTAAATAAGGTTAAACAATAAAATCTACTATGTTCACCAAAGCTAAATGAGAACTAGCACATATCTTTGTTAGATGGAGACGAGCATGGCTGACATCTTAAAAAGTCTCAATACTTTTGGAAGGTTTTGGGTCCTTCAGCGCATCATTTTAGTGTGATAATGCATTCGGACGATGTTGTTTGTATGCGCTAAACATTCGGTGTCCTCTGCTGGCTGGTTCTGTGTCTGCTATTTGAGTCGGTACCTCCTGTAATCCAATCAGCCTGTTGCTGTAATCAAATACTGTCTGCCTGCAGCAGTGCAGGTTGGAGCTGTTAGTAGCACTGAGTGATGTCCTCAGCTGGACGATGAATTTCTCCTCACGCTAAATATGTTCCACGAACAGACAGCGAACTCTAGTAAACCTGATGCTCTGTGATATTCTTGTTTTAACTGTTTCTCTAAAATACCTTTGATTCACTAAATGTGATTAAAGCCAGCGGTCAGTGACGCACATGTTGTTTGCATGCTGCTCACGTGTTGTTTGCATGCTGTTCACGTGTTGTTCACATGCTGTTCACGTGTTGTTTGCATGCTGTTCACATGTGTTTTACATGCTGTTCACATGTTGTTTGCATGCTCTTTGTGTTGGTCATAACAACCTCACAACACAGACGCACCAAAGGCCATTAGAAACGTCAGCAACATCATTAGTTGTACTGCAGAATAATAGAGCCCTTCCGAGCGATGTTATTATGAATGTCAAATTAGATTACTAATAAATATAATCATCGCTCTGCTGTTGTAGCGGATTAAGTTAAAACTATTTTTATGTCGCAATTAGGGACAAGGACTATATATCGGTGGTTATAGAAGTATGTTGAAGAAATGAAAGTACTCAAGTACAAAAAACCTCATTATTGAACATAAGTACACGCAATACTTGAGAATATTCAATAGTATTTTCACCACTACAACATACATTTTAATCTGTGTAATGATTTCATACTTATTACTCATAAAATCTCCCTTAGTCAGAGTCAGACTAGATACTGTGTTTACACACATTAATGTATGTTTCATATATTATTTTGTGTACAAACATTGTACATTGAGAAAACCTTCTCTGCAGGTTTTTGTGCATTAATACGTCTCCTATTTTTCCAAGCATTTTCCCACGGCCTCCTTTGTGCAGCTTCGCATGGGACAGTTACATCTGTTTCCATCAATCTTCCGTTCACAAGTTCACTTCTATAACATTTGAGCTGCCCACAGCCCTCAGAAGACTAACACAACGCTGTCATAGCTATCTGATTTGGCTGTGAATGGAAGGGGAAACTGTGATATAATATTGCAGAGGTGCTCGGACGGGTTTCAATTTCCCAACTCACAGACTGACTAAAAAGTCTTTACATTTCTGTCTGTAGGAGCGGAGTAGGAGCGGAAATCTTCCTGAAAGAAAATAATGAATAAGGCAAATAGCACCCAAAACATCCAATTGACATTTTGCAGCTGATCGTGACAATAATAACTACAATAGAGTATGACTGTATTGGAAGAATAGCCATGGTGTATTTCAACTTGCTTTGGGTACTTTTCTTTCTTTTTTTTGGGTGGGGTTACAAAAAATAAAGGAACAATATCATTCCGGTCTATAACGTCTGTAGTTAAGGAGAGGACACGCAGCTGTTGCATCATGTTACTTTTTCCACCCTCCACCTCTGACAGCTGAGGGAAACCGGCAAAGAATAGAAGTGATGCAATTACGGCCAAATTTGCCTTTCAACAACCCACTCTGCATGTTGCAAGACTGACCCCTCCACTCCTTCTTCATCCTGCAACACTGCCGAGTGGGTGGGAAGCGTCCCAGGCGGTTCTCAGTGCTCCTACCTCAACGCAGCGCATCGCAAAGGATACAACCTTCATTCGGCATTTCAGTTAGTGATTAGGTTTTTTTAAATCAACAACTGATTTTTATATTCTGCTACACAAACCCACACTGATTTTGGACAATTTAGCTTTAGTTAGTGTGTGTGTGTGTGTGTGTGTGTGTGTTTGTTTGTTTGTTTCGGCGGGCTTGTTTGCTCTTTTCCAATATTCAAGGTTACACAGGGAGGCAATCAAGCAGCCAAGTTTTGTCTGAATGCAAAGACATGCCTGATTGGTTGCATAAGAGGGAAATAAAAAACCTCTGACCCACACCTGATACTGTGCCACCAAATCACAGGCATAAATTACAATCCATTCCTCTCTGTGGGTTTATAAAATAGCTCCCTGCTTCACTCCCTGTTGCACTTATTCGTTCTGACACGACAACAAGTGCTTTCAGCAGATGCGTGTGGTAAAACAATCCTCGCCCTTTGTGTCCTCCTGCCATTAAATAAACAGAAAACTGACAATATTTGTTATTGTGGTAATCAAGAGGGTTTTTTTGTCCGTCGATATTGGTTTCAAACCCTTTGAGGAGAAAACAAAGTGCAATTCAGAGTGATAAGATTGCTCTGTATGCATTGAGTAGAAGACAAGAAGAAGAGGTTTGATTCAGTAGTTTAATTTTCAGTCCATCAAGCAAAGAGAATAGTTCCAGTTTCTTGCTTTGATCAAAAAATGTATGATTAACACTGTTTAAAAAATGTATCTATCATTACCAATTGTCTGTACAGGCACAAGCATTATAAAACCTAAAATAATCATAATTTATTAACAGTAGCACTCACAAATGTTATTCTGTCTGACTAAACTGTCCCCTGGTTAAAGTGGCAGTAGAAGTCAAATCTGTTTTCTGGAACAAGCTTATTCAGGACAAGTCAGGAACGAAAGAGACTTACTTACTTACTTCTGGCGGAAAGAGCACAACTGGACGTTGTACGTTTTTACAGAGTATATCACATAGGCAATAGGCTGTAGGTGGAAGGTTGTTACTGTTCATATAAGTTACATCATTAAGAGGAAAACCCTAAAAAGCCAAATCTGCATAGTGTCAATGTCAGCCTACACTTAGTTGGAAATGGTACATTTAAGGACCTCGAACCGCACCTGCAGATAGTCTCACCGGAAGATTTCCCAACATGTCCTTACAGAACTATGCTATTATCATGCCCTTTACGACCAGGATCGTCTGCACCTTGAAACAGTTTTGCATCTGACAACCGTCAATAATCATCCCAGGGAAGCAAGTGGTAATCCAATGGGAAATGTTATGAGTTCCCTCCCTGATTGCCTGTTGGAGATCAGTACTACTGTGTCTCCACCTTCACGGGTATCCTCATGTCAGCAGCGTGACCGTCATAGGGCTCTTTTTACCCGCCTCCATTGCTTTTCATCTAAAAGCGAACAAAAACCAGCGAGTCAAATCTTTGATTCTCTACGAGAGGACTTCAGTTCATTCACTAGCTCTGATGAGTACTTCCTGTTCTCCTCCTTCGGCACGACTCCCTCCTCCTCCTCATCCCTGCTGGTGAAGGCCAGCTCGTTCTCGTAGCAGAAAGAGTTGGCGCTAGGTGTCGGGAATTTTCTCTCCTCCATGTCTTTGGCACTACATCTGGGGGTGGACGGCACTTCAAATGTTTTGTGAAAGTAGGCGTAGTCTATCCGGTACTGGCTCTTCTCCTCAAAGATGACGGGCTCAAAGCGGTGACCCCAAAGGATCTCTGAGGGCAGGTAAGAGCTGCGCGCCTGCGTGGTCATGGCCGTGGCCTCCACCAAACCTTCGAGTATGATGACTATCTCGAAGTCCGATGTCGTCAGATCCTGTTTACTGATGCCAAACAGCGGGCTTTCTTCATCAATCTCGTGTATGACAGTGAGGGGCGCCACCAGAAACAGGCGATCCGTGCCTTTGTCATAACCTACGTTCATGTCGAGCTGATCCAAGGGGATGTATTCGCCCTCCTCCGTGTATCGGGGCTTGACCAGCTGGGCTCGCACGTGAGCTTCCACGATGTGGCTCTTCCTCAGGTTAGCAACCCTGAACATGAGGCACAGCTTCCCATCACGCAGGGCGATGACCGCGTTGTGGCTGAACAGGAGAGTCTCTGCGCGCTTTTTGGGCCTGGCCATCTTGGCCATGATGGCACCAATCATGAAGGCGTCAATGATGCAGCCCATGATGGACTGGAAGACGACCATGAAGACGGCGGACGGGCATTCCTCTGTCACGCAACGGGCCCCGTACCCGATGGTGGTCTGGGTCTCAACGGAGAACAGGAACGCTGCCACGAAGGTGTTTACCTGCGTGACGCAAGGAACGAAACTGTCCCCCTCTTCGCGTTTTTCCATGTCGCCGTGCAGGAGGCCGATGACCCAGAACGCCAGGCCGAACGTCAGCCAGGAGACCACAAACACCAGGCTAAACAGCAGGAACATGTACCGCCAGCGGACGTCCACGCACGTTGTGAAAATGTCCGATATGTACCGCTGTGACTTCTCATCCATGTTTGAGAAGTGGATGTTGCATTGGCCGCCCTTGCTGACGAACCGGCTGTGGTACTTGCGTCTGGTGTTAATCTTTCCATTGCCAAAGCTGCCCACGGCAGGCATTGTACTCGGCCTTAGGCCTTCTTCTTCACAGGACACAAAGCTTTTGTGGTGGGCCCTTCCCACACTCATGCCTCAGTGGGGCACGGCCAGAGGGGCTTCACACTGTCAGCGCGGCTCGGACACAGGCGCACCGGGAGGAAGGGGACAATTCCCGGCCAAAACGATGGTCGGTGCCAACTGGAAATGAGACGTGAGACACGGACAAGTAGTTCCCTGTAAAGGGGGAACAGGTGACATGTTAGTCATCATCTTTTATCTTCCCACAATGTGACTGTGGCCAGTGTTTGGATATCACCTGAAGAAGTGGAAAACGAAAGCATTTTCCTCCGTTTGAGCAGTAAATGTACTTAATCATAAAGTAACGTTTGCAGTAGTGCATTAGCAATGTGTTGCTCACATCACTCGTTGAATACGCTGGACGAAGCCAGCAGACACGATGAACATGGCCACTCAATTTCCCAGTAATCAGCTCCAATGTGAAATAAAACTTACGTAATATTACACATTTTCTATTTCTTTGTTACAGATCTTTATGACTACGTATGATCACTGATTGCTTTAAACAGAACCAGGCTCCTCTGAGTGGTACCTCACTGTCAAATCAAACTGTTTCAGGCTTCTAATAATAGCTGCTGCTAGCCAGAGCTTGTTTCAGTCTTACTAAATTGTTTTCACTGTTTCATCTGGTAACCACCATTTAGATTAATAGATTAATGATAAATGTCATTGATGATGAATCAATTTTCTCTGTTTTAAAGACGTTTTTGCCAAACATGGAAATGATACAGTCAAACATAGATTTTCAAATACGGTCACATTTTATTTGTAATGTTTCCTTCCAGACCTTTGGTTTTTCCGTCCTCTCTTTGCCCCCCCGCTACATTAGAAATACCCTGGTGTATACAATACATGTTTTTCTGATCAACAAGGTACAGAAATAGCCGGCTAATCCAATGCCCTGCCATTTTATCTGACGTATATTCTCTTTCCTCCAGCTGGCACAACTATTAGAGGCACTGGAGCGCTGTGGTGAGGCTCAGCCATTCCCCTGTGACGCTGAACCGGAAAATAATATGGACTGAAAAAGACGTGGCAGAAAATTAAATATCCTAAAAGAGGATATTTGTATTTGTATCTCACATACAAATTGTTTGATGCTGGGAATTCATATGAAAACGCTTTAGATAAATGGAAAAATATTTTTAAAAAGGGAAGCGTCATCCTGATCAGTCCTAACAAATCAAATTTGTAACATATGATTTCCAGAAAATTGTGTGCCATTAATTTTTTAAAACCTGTATTTATTGTACAGGAACCAGTATTATACAATACATTTGATCAAATTCATTCTGATTCACCCTGTTTAAGACATAAACATTACACCAAGCAAAAGTTTAACAGGCTCTTTTCTGTAATATATTGTTACTTATTTTATGTTCTAAATATATTTGACTGTTTCAGTCCAGATAAGTAACCTTTATGAACAACAGAGTCCGTAGCAGTGGCTCTGTGAGGCTGTAACACTAAACATTTACCTATTAAAATGCTTGCAATGTTCAGCAGGTACTCTGTTTACCCCGTTCTCTGCTTCCGTTTAGCATGTTAGCATGCTAATATTTGCTAATTAGTGTAAACGCTCTCTCGTGTAATTGACCATATTTCAAGGCGTGAAATAAGACACGTTTGGCCCATCACGCAGGCGACCGCAGGGGCCGAAAACACGACTACAATCAGCGCTGAAAACGTTGGGGTTGACGATGATTGTTTTTTGTTTTGTCACTTGAAGAAGATTAAGAAGAAATTAAATATGAAACGATAAACCTCTGTGCTGTAAGAGTGTGTAGTTACAAAGCTTCTGGGATTTGTGGGGTTAATAAAACGTCCAAATGGGGTCACAAAGTCTGCTGTGCAGGTGTCCCCAACATGGATACTCGATAGCTATAGATAGATAGCGGAGTAACACCCTGAACATACAGCAGGTATGCAGAAGTTAAAGTTTAAACACTCAGCCATAATTGTTAAAGTCGTTGTTAATTACAGACTCCGGGGTGAAGACCGGTAAAAAAAAAAGCTCTCTCATTTTGTGTGGATTGGAGTGCGGCTGATGGTGTGTGTGAGGGTTTTACTGAGCAGTCTCTGTTTTTCAATGCTCTGGTTGCTAAGAGGCAAATGTTATTAATATCTAATATTGTGTGCGCTTCACACTCTGCCTGCTGGGCTGTGAACTCAATGCCGGAGCAGAGATGAGTCGACTGTAATATCTATTTGAACGAAGGGAGACGGCCCACATGTCCCTCAGTTAAAGAACGTTGACTAAAGTACCCGATTAAAAATCCCGAATCGCAAGCAGCTTACCGTGTGTGCGAGGTGTTTGAATAATTGTTGATTTCCGACTTGTCCTTTTCTTCTAGATAATCCAGTGTTTCAGCCAAACTGCTGCACGTTTCTTCCTTTTTTTCCCACTCTCCTTGTTTGTCACGGGTAGAACCACTCTATCCTCTTGAGGCAGAAAAGTAAATAGCCCAGAAGTACCATCATGTCTGTGCCTCCTGATCTCAACGCGTCTCTTTCTCCACTCAAGAACCAGAGCATTACAGTCACTCCGATAGTCGAGTCCACCAAAGTTACAGCTCAGTTGATATCCAAGAAATGACCCAATCACACAGCCGAAGCACCGAAGTCATAACTCTGACCTTCAAAATGGCACAACGACTTGATCCCAGCTAACCCAAATTGAGTTGAGAAATTGAAAGGGCTCACGTTAAACCTGTACTGACGGTCCCGTCCAATCAAAAATCAATCCTTCATGTCTTATTTCAGAGTGATGGACAGTCGTCAGTCTCACACTCGCTTGGTATGTCTTGCTGTGTGATCTCGTTCTGATGCAGATCCCACTCGGTATCCCACATCCAGTGAACTATTGCTCACTGCTCAGCTCTCGTCCTCCCCCTCCCCTCCTCGGTGTCACTGTAGATACTTGGCATTTGGAAACTACATGCTCTTCCCCGGCCGTGTGCGGCGCCAGTGCTGGTCAGCAATGTTGAAAGTACTGACTGATGTTTACGAGGGCCGAGGAAGGAACAGAACATGTACGTATGTAATGATTAGCATTGCTTTTGATGGGTGTATAAGGTGGTGTTTCTGTAGGAGCCTCTCTTTCTGTTAAAAAAAAAAAAAAGATGATATTTGTTTTATAACTATAATCCAACTCGTCACAGAGTGGGTGGTGTGGTCTCTATTTGACTCATTCAGAAAGCAAAGCAGCTCCTGACAAATAAGCCGGCCCGTGTAGGCAGTTCTTTGCTGAACATCACTCATGTGTTTTATGTGTGTGTGTGCGTGCGTGTGTGTGCGTGCTTGCATGAAGCAGGAAATAGTTAATGACCGTATCACAGGGCTAATGAAAACTTGTGTCCTTATTACAGTTGTAAAACAAGACTGCTAGTCAGCGACACAGACAAACCTGACGCTACACAAGTCAGGGGATCATCAACGTCATTGGGGTTCATCATCTGGACACCATGAATATTGCTCCAAATATTGTGGGATTTCATCCATTAGTTGAAATTCCCTGGGGTAAAAAACGCAAATGTGAACCTCATGGCGGAGTTTCAGGTAAAGTGACGAGAAACTAAAACTAATTTCTACCACAGAATAATAGAACTCGGTGAGCAAGCCACAAGGCACCTCGTCGCTGGTTTTAACAACCCACCAACACGCTGCTCCGGCCGGGACTTTGTAATCACTTCACAGGCCAGAAACAGCCCCAGTAGTTCCAGTGCCGGCCGGCACAGATTCACTGCGGGGCATCGCGGGGGGAAGAGAGGGTGTGTGGGTGACACGTCAACATGGCGCCCACGGAGGTGGCGGGTAAATGGGTTATGCGTTCGGATATGACGGACAGACCAGACTGGGATGTGGAGTGCGCTATAGGGACAGACCTCATACGCAGGGAGTTATATAAAGGCCGCCTCACTGCGGCGCCACAAAGTGGGCCAAGCTCCACCGCACTCCGCTGGACACCCGCTGCAGTTTGATAACCTTTCAGATAATAAGCACAAACCCCTCTGATTCTGACACAGCGTTAAGTCACGTTGTGGTAGTTCCTGTTGGGTACAGACGACACGGGATGTTCCCTCATAGCTCAGACTGACACGAGCAGAACTGGTCCTGATGGAGGATTCTCCAGACCGGCCTGATCTACACCCGGCCTCGTCAGGTTAAAGCGCTCTAACCTTTAATAACCTCAGGGTGAACGGGAGGAAAGGGAATTTATTTTTCCTCACATAACATAAAGCTTTCATGGAGAAAAGTTATGAAAAGTTGTAAAACGTGGGCATCATTGTTTGGGGTTTTCAAAATATTGGTCTGATTGAAAGATGTTAGAAATATTTGTCACTTATGTATTTTCCACCAACAAAACTTTGCTTTTAGTGTCTTATACATTCTTCTTACAGCACATACGGGAGTCGGTCACAAAGTGCTCCGGCAAATATCAATCCGCCTCATCGCTCTTCGTTGCCAAAAGTCTGTCTCTGCCAAATGTATATTTGTCTGAGGTGAACCAACGGAGGATCCATCCATTGTCATGGAAACACTGATAAAAATTGAGTTACATGTAGGTCACACGCCTCTGGACCTGATTTCGTAACGCCAAATCAAGTTGGGGAAAAACAAGTCCGTGCAGCTCTTTCACTCTTCACACCAATTTTAAAGCGCAGGCCAGCATCACCTGTGAGAGGAAAAAGAAGAGCGCCGCAGTGTAAATGAAGCTGAAGTGCATCATTGGGGAAGCTGTGCTGGCGGATCAGAGCCGCCTCTGTGCTGCTGGTAGTAATTGATCTCTGCATGAATAAATAGGGCACTTATTTTTACACGCTGAGCAGGTGCACCTGTGTACTGGTGTTTCTTCGTCAGCCGCTGATCAGTCGCGAGGACCGGCCGTGTTTGTGGGGCAACTCGAGTCCGAACAAACCCTGCAGGTGCGCACACACACACACACACACACACACACACACACACACACACACACACACACACACACACACACACACACACAGGAGAACAAAATACATAGATGGCAGAACATTAGAATACAGCCACAACACTGTTCATGAATATGTTTGCCAAAGGTTTTTTTTGCCAAAAGATTATTTTCAGAATGAATCAGTTATTAGAATAGTTTTCCAATTAATTAATTGCTGATTGACTCTTCAATTAATTAACTAAAATCTATCAACCGTAGCTTTTTGTTACAGAATCCATCAGTGGATGAAAGCTTCAGAGCGAGCGAACCTGAAATTAAGATAATTATTGTGAAGCTACGAAAGAGTTTCCATTAATGCACAACATTATTTTCTCTCTTCATCAGTGAGAAACTTTGAATCTGCTCTGATTCTGCTGATCGCTGCTTCCAGGTTTAACTTCCTCGGGTGTTATCAGATGAAATCTTACACTCGCCTTTTAAAAATAAAAAAAGTGCAGCAATGGTGTTTATCACCATTGTCATTAAAACAATTTCACAGGAAGCCAACTTACAGTCTTTGATAACATTAAGAAACAGCTTGGCTCTTTCAAGGTGGGGGCTCACATGACAGAAGTTTCCCATTGAGGAGTCACAGGGAAGGAAAGACGAGTGTTGGGTTTTAATGAGGTGTGATGTTCCTCTGCAAGGGCACTGAGAGTTAGGATTTATATTTTTATACACAAATCAGACCTCTGGAGACGTAGACAGTTATAGTTACAGCTCTGTGTTTCCATAGAAAAAAATAAAAAACAGGGTAAATAGTAAAGTAAGAAATACTCCCGTAAAAGCTATTTTAAATTCAACATAACTGTAGGTTTCCTTTTATTAGGTTTGAGAGGTTAACTGGGGCAACCTGTAACGTATCTCTGAGTAATGTGTGGCACTTCAATCTTCAAAAACACGTTCATTCAGAAGTGATTTCCAAAATGTTTGGGATCTCTATTAAAACCAGGGACCCCTGTGACTCTGTGGTCTGGTGTTGGAAACCCTGCTGAAGTGTGTTATCGTCCCGTCCTGCTCCACTTTACGAGGCACTCGAGTGTATGTGCAGTCCCTCGGGACGGTGCAGGACATCGTCCTCCTCATTGGCCGCTGGGCTTCTTTATGCGTCACCGCGAGCATGTTTCCACAGACTAAACTCCTGCAGTATCTACACGTGTGATATCCTGTGCGAGTCTGCCATCAAACCAAATAAACTATTTTACATTATTATAATTTTATCCCACATGTCTTATCATGGACATGAATGTATCCATAAGTAAGTGCTTGTTATATATATTGTGTGTTTCTTTGAGGGAAATGTTGTCCGTGGGAATCTCAATAAAAGATGCTATTGATAATGTCCTTTACAAGTTAATTACTCTCACAATACTCAGGTCTCACGCACTGAAACATACGAAACACAAACAATTTTTGGGGGTTATTAGGAAAATACTTTATTGTCTAAATTGATACAACTGCATGTTGTCAGAGTACAAAATATTTAAAAATCAAGCCTAATGTATCCATTTACTGACATCAAAGATAGCAACCTTCCGAAAATGATTTAACTTTGGCTGTTCAAAATATCTCTACTCAAAAAATGGCTACATGTCAACAGAAAAGATCTTGAAAACGTCAATGACATCAACTCAGAAGTTGTATCTGCTGGCAGACTACATGTTGTATTACACTACATCTAGTGGTATAATATGTTAATAACAACTTGACGGATGCCACACACTCCGTAATTCTAATGAAAACACAGATATAGTGTTCATAAGTCACACTGTGCACTGATGTACAGAATATAAACATATATTTTTATGATTATTGTTTTTGCATTGTATAGCTCATTCTCATAAAGGTTCATCTTCAATAAGTGTTTTCTGCTCCCTCTAGTGGTAACGCTCTTTTGTCTTTATTCATCTAACATACACACACACACACACAAGGAAACATATTTTGCAGATAGCATATCAACAATAAATAACCACAAATCCACATTATACACGGTAAAAAAGTAACAAATAAAATAACAAGCCCACATGTGAAACAACAACAGTTACAAATATTAGGCAGAGATATATTGTGTGTTCAAACTGCACCGAGCAAACAGCAGTTTTACTCTGAAACACAGATGCACATCTGGTTTTGATCAGAATGACTCAAACAGCTTCATTCTTTCTTGGACAGAAAGGCCGTCTTTTAAACTCTGCAAATACGACACACACAAGGAAAATCAAGGGACAAGAGAAAGAAGTTATGATGATTTAATTACTTTACTCATTTACTCTTTACTCATATTTTGCATTTCTGAATAGACAAAGCAGAGGATGCAGGATTTTTTACCTTTGATCTCACTCCTCTTATCTGACGTGTGAGGGTTGATTTAACTGTTTTCTTCAGAAAACCAGCATTATTTGTTTTTGTCACAGTGCCCTCTGTAAAGGAGTAAAGTTCTACATTTTAGAGAATGCACTTGTTCCCTCTTCTTAATGGGGGTTTTGTTTTATGAGATCAATAGGAATTCAGCGTGTGAATGTTGTTGCCTTTGGACCGGTGAGTGTGTGCAAAGTAAAAAGTGTCTTACCGGCGGTCTGTCCTGGAGCGTCGGCCCTTGGAGACCAAGTGGCCGACTTGACATCGGCCAAGAATTTGTTGACGTCATGATGGGATTCATCCTGGCTGTTGTAGAGGGCCTTGAGCTTGTTCTCGGCGTATATTTTGTCCTGTTGCACAAACACACAAACAAACCCACGTTGTTGTTTAGTTGTTCTTTTCATAGAATATCATATGATAAATATGACATTCGACCATTAGGGCACGACAATAAAATGTTTAAATTAGTAGCTTTACAACAGCTTCCATATAAAACATTTGTATAATGTATGCAGCTGATCTTTATCATGTTACCTATATACGTTTGTATCAAATGCCCCAGTCTTTAGGTAAATAATACATTAAATGAAACTACAGTTTATTCATATTAACCTAATAATTTCAGTAAATACAAAATGGATCATGTGTTTCAAATTTGACAGCAATAGCAATTCACTCAAGGCCACCTTCGCAATATAATATAAAATGTAAAGAGATTTTAGCACCATTCGAGCAAGCTTTAAATCTTCCTGGAGAGAACGAGCTTCCTGTCTGAGAAACTGCATTTCTGCCTCCCTCGCCCGCAGAATCACCTGTGACACAAGTCCATGAATACATGCTCCGTGTTACAATGAAGGGGCACAGGATTACAAATGCAAACACATTGCTGTGGAAATGATCTTTTAAGTCTTTTTACAGCAAGCGTACGTAAGGAAGTTACCTACAATCTCCACAACTTCAAATTGGATTCAACAAAGAGAAAAAGATGAAGCCAGAACAGAAATGTAAACTATGGGTTAATTTAGCTGTAAGACTAACTACAAAATATCTTAATTAGTTATAAAAACACAAATACATACCTCCATCTCATAAAAGTCCTTTATTTTAGGGGAAACGTGGGACTGTTTCCCATTTCGCAAGAAATGTATCTGAGACATTTCATCTGTTTCTCTCTTGAAGGGACAAAGAGGTCAGAGGGAGAATGCATTTCATGGAGGGTTTTACGTGCACACGGTTTGAGCTAACTACATGTGGTTGTATGTTCACTCTGGTACCTATGATAAAAGGAAAGATGTGTTTATAAAACCTGTTTATTTTTCAGCTCCTGGATTTCCTTTTGGTACTGCATCAAGGACTGTCTCTCATCGTGCAGCTCCTGGCTCAGCTGAGAGTTTTCCAGGCATTTCTGAGAGTGTTGAACCGACAACACCTCGAGCTCCTTATGCATCGACCGAATGTCCTTCCTGCAGGGGCACAAATGATGTGAGAGAAAACTGTAAGAGGAAGAAGCAATTGGCAAAAACGGTATTAATAGAACATTTAAAAGTTATTATGGGGAATTGGGGAGAAAAAGCTTCAACAGAAGTGCTAATATTAAATGCTAATACCACAAGCACAACTAGCAAAAATGATTTAATTAATGAATCATTTTAAAGTATGAGAAATTATTTAGCAATTATCAATATTTGGTAAAGTTAAGTGGAAGAAAAAAAAGGTTAAGAAACCAGTGGTCGCTCACTCATATTCAATGTGCAGTTGTGTGACGTCAGCGCTGTCCTTTGTGCGCTGGGACTGTCGGCTTTTCTCCAGCTCCTGTTTATGAGCTCTCCTCATCGCGACGATGGCTACAGGAAGATATGAAAACTCTCATGATTGTGTAACATTGTTCAGTTAGAGCATGGCTATTTCTGTTCAACTTTAAATACATTTTAATAATTTACACAGGCCTCTTATTTTCGTATTTTGGCCCATTAAGACAGCACAGACTTGTGCTTGCTGGAGACGTTTACCGGCCATGGTGGCAGCCGTCTCTTCCTGCAGCAGCTTGTCTCTCTCCTCTAGAAGGGCAGCGACCTCCGCCCGATGCTGCTGCTGTAGATCTAAAATCATCTGCCTTTGCATTTCCTCCATAGCAGCAACGTCTTGATAACAGGACGCCTATAGTGGAGTTAAAATCAGGATTTACTTACTACTTACTAAAGGGATTATTTGTTAGAGATTAAGGTATTTTTTACCTCATGTCTTTCAAGATCTTTCTGGTAAGCCTCTCCCAATGCTACTGCCCCGTTTGTCGGCATGGTTTTTCTCTCCATCACAGTCTGCTCTGGTAGGGAGGAGGTGTAATAACCATGCATGTGTTTCATCTCCTCCTCGTGGATCTGTTGCAGTTCCCTTATCTTCTCTTGGAACTCAGTTTCCATTTTTTTCATCCGTTCATCATGATAGTCGTTGATCTTCAGTAAATCTTCAGAGAGCCTCCGGTTCCCAGTCTCCCCAGACGTGATCCTTTGCTGTGCACGCTCTAGTTCTCCTCTCAACACACCGTTGTCCTCCTGAAGCTGACATACGGTGTGATTAAAAGCCTCCAGCTCATCCTTTAATGTGTTATCCTGCTCTTGGCACAGGGCTTCCAGTTTGCCCTGTAACACCACGCTTTGCTGCTGCTCTAAATCCAAATACAGCCTCTCCCACAGATAAATCAACTTCGCCTGCTCCTGCATCCAATTTAAGTCAGCCGTTGAGGCGTTTTCCCAGTGATCGTCGGTACTGCACTCGACTGCGTGGCCATCGGAATCCTCCTGGCAGAGTTGTTGTAAGAATTTAGCCCTTCTCTTCAGCCGGGTTATAAGTCTCTTCAACCACTCCGATTTCTCCGCCTCTACCCTTTGGACATTAGCTTCATCCCTTTCAACTGGCTCAGCAGCTCCTTCTGAATCGTTATTTTCCCCTTCCTCCTCATAAGGAGTCAATTCCGGGGGATCTGCCAGAACCTCCAGTCGAAGCTCCGCTTCTCGATTATTTGCTTGCTGTGGACATTTTAAGGCGGCGTGAATGAGCTCCGCTTCAGCACAGACTCCGCTGATGGCCCTCTCTAAACATCCCTCGTTGTCACATTCGGCTCTCCGGGAATTGCTCCTTTTTACTGTTTTTAAAGCTATTCTTTGCCAGATTATGCTTTTGTACTTGTGTGCCAAATCCCCCTCATCCTCTCTCGGTTCCAAGGGCTGTTGCTCAGTGACACGATGACTCTGAAGGACAGACACCATTTTTTCCACGACAACTAGTTCCCTCATTAAACACTCGCCAACACTTTCCGCGCCATCGTTTGAAGGTAACGCTCTAGCGGGTTTCCCTTCTCCGCCGACGTCGCTCTCGGCGCCAGCTAGCGCCTCGTCCTTGAGGATCTTGTCCTCTCCTTTGCTGGCATTGTGCGATTCCTGCTGATGTTTCTCTGCATCTCTCTCTCCCTGACGGAGGCAAGACGCGACGGCGCTTAGCTGCTTTTCAAAGTCCGTGATGTTAATCTGAGTGCCCTGGAGCGTCTCTCTGCAGGCTCGTAGGATGTTCAGAGCGAAGCGAAACCTGCCCGCCAGCATCCCACAGCGGTTTTCCGTCTCCTGGGCGAAGCGCTTGCTCCGCTTGGCCTGACTGTGAAGGAGCAGACTGAGGTGCTGAGCGCTGGCTCGGCTCTGCGTGAGCTGGGAGCAAAGGTGAGGGTCCCGGCAGCCGACGTGACCGTGGTGCTCCTGCAGTCTTTCCATGATATCCCTCAGTTTCTCTTCTGTTATATGAAGCTTGGTTTCAAGTATCTGGATCACAGACAGAAACTGCTCCGGGTCATCTCCTGCATTTGAGCCGTTCACGCTGTTTATTTCCCTCGGCCTGCTGTTGCTTGTAGTTAAACGATCAGCCTGTCTCTCATTTTGCTGAGCAGGCTCTAGATGTTCATGCTTTGGCTGTGAAGGGTTGCAGGTTCCACCTTTCAATACCTCATTCAGCTTCATTTCTGTCTCCTCCAGGCTATTACCTAAGATTTCCATCTTGAGCAAAGCTTCGCTGAGCTCTTGCTCCTTCCTGTCCAGGAGCCTCTCGTAGCCTTCTCGCATGTCCTGTGTCTCAGACTCATTTTGCTGCACCTTCCCTAACGCCAACTGCAAGTCCTCGCTGACCCTCTCGAATGAGTGCTCGAGGTTGTAGTAGTCTGTCTCCTCTGTTTTCAAGCGGCTTTGCAGCCGGCTCACCTCCCCGTCCGCCTCACACAACTGCTTTTGCAGCTCTCGACAGTGGCGATCGAGCTGCTCTTTTTCCTCCTGAAGTTTCTGCACGGCAGACACTGTGCAGGCCAGCTCCTCTTGGAGCTGCTGTTGAGCCTCCTCGATGTCCCTGGTCCAGGTCGGAGTCTTGTTCAGACCATCCACGTGCCGTTCCGCTCTGTCCAGCCTCTCCTGCAGTTCCCGCGAGTGTTGCTCCGCCTGTGCCAGGCTCGAGGCCAAGCTCCTCCGTTCTCGGTCCTGACTTTCTTGAAGAAGCGTGAGGTGCTTCTGTAGGCGAGCCTCCTTTTGCGCCTGCGCTTCCTCGTTGGAGTGAAGCTCAGTCGTCACCTCTTGAAGATGTTTGTGCAGGCTCTCGGCCTCCTGCTGGAGAGTGTGGTAACTCTGCAGCTCCTGCTGCAGCTGTTTGAAGCGCAGCTCGGCCTCCTTCCGCTTCTCGTCGCTGGAACTCAGCTGGGTCTTCAGAGAGGCCACGCAACGCTCCCACTCCATCTGCTGCTCGTGAAAACGCTGGCGATCCTGGTCCAGATGGGCCTGTGCGAGTGCAGTGGCGTCTCCCGTGACAAGCAATTGTGCCTGTTGAGCTAAGAGATCCACCCGCTGCCGTAGTTCGGCTTCCCTGGCTTTCTCCTGGCTCCTGGTTTTAGCCTCCAGCTCCAGGCGGAGGTCATGGTTTATCTTCTGCAGTCTCTGGAAAGCCGATGCTTGTTCCGCATTGGAGTTTGAGGGAAGATCATTCTACGGGACAAAAGTAACCTTTAGTTGGGACAAACTGTGCTTTGCATGCTGTTTATTTTGTGCGTTTTACCTCTGGATGAGCCCTTTCTATTGAATGCCTCGCTCTCTCCTGTTGTAGCTCATCCTGCAGCTTCTCAAAATGAATGGTATTAAGTTGTGTCAACATTTTTAAATGTGTTTTATTTACATACACTTAAGGATAATCTCACCTCTTTGACAAGTCGTCCAGTTTGCTGCTCACAGGGAAGTTGGTCACAAACTTGTTGCTCGTAGCTGCGGGTCGAGGTCTTTTCAAGCTGCCAACTCTGCTCAGTTTTACTCAGCATATCTGAATGTTCATCAAAACTCTGAACATTTGATTGCATTGCAGTGAAGGTTTTGCTGTCACTTCCAACTCCATCAACAAACGATGGTGGATCTGTCACACCTGGTGCACAGGAAGGCATACACAGAATGTAATGATGTGTATCACTAGGTCTGTCCACCTGGAGCGTGTTTGTGGCTCATGATTGCAAACCGCTAGAGCACCGTTAATATGGCTTCTTGAAATGAACATTTCTGTATTTTTGAACAATTGTGTGAAAATAACAAAGGCCTCATGCACTGACCATCTCCCATTAAAAAAGAGTTACAAAATGGCATTTTGCTGGTTTGTTTCATTTTGTTCAGCGACTCACCGGTCACTGCGGTTGCATCGAGAAGCGAACCCTGACTCCAGGCGGCATCCTCACCCTCCTTGACCTGCCGTGGAGGACTGGGGGGGGAACGCCGAACTTCCTCTCGCTGCAGTTCCTCTCGCTGCAGTTCCTCTTCTTGCTGCTGCTGATGTGTTTCCTCTGCTTTCTCCAGATCCTCAGCTGACTGCGAGTCCTGATGCTGTGAAACAGAGCTGTGAGGAATAACAAAGAAACACATTTAGGCTTTGAATGTGTAATCCAAAACGGCCACAACATAATGTGGGACAATTAAAGTTATTTCAAGATGTAAACTCTCAATTAGGTCAGTCTTGAGGCAGGTTACAAGGCTACTTGTTTTTTTTATCTGACACCATTTATGCAGTTCTTTTAACATCTTTACCCTGTGACGTCAGGTGTAAAACCTGGCAGCACATTCTTCAACACAGCTTGGACCCAGTTGTGTTTCTTCTCGGAGGTCATCGCACAGAAAGTGTGGACTCCATCTCTGGTCTGTGAAAAAAAATCGTTAAATCTTTATGAGGTATATGTTTATGTTATCTTAAATTATTGATTTACTATGTAGAAGAACTTGTATCGACTATTTGATGTGATTTGTTTTAGGTAATTGGCATGGTAATCAACACTTAACAATACTATATAGCTATAGTAATCAAGAATTTCTGAGATATACTGATAATTGCTTTGGGTCCACTTATTTTAGAGAGGAATATGCTTAAAATCATTTATAACTGCTGCATTGGATATTTCTTCACTTCTCCCAACAAAACAGGAACATGAAAAAAAAATGTATTTTTAATTTTGTTGGAGTAACGGTCATGTAGAGAACAACATATTTCTAATAAGCAGGAAAACAATGAATAATAATAATTATCAATAATTAAGATTATTGCAGCGTTCACCTTTATGGAACTACATGAGAATGCTTCAATTCTAGTAATGTGCTGACTGCTAAAGACAACAGATTTGAATTGTATTACACATTAAAGGCACAACTACCTGTTTCTTTTCTTTGTTGCAATGCTGGTGACATGATGTGGTGGAAACCAAAGAGGAGGGAGACTCTGAAGGCTCACAAGGGCTCCTGGTTTTCAACTCCTCAGCTTTCTCATCATGACACTCGTCTATGTTGTCTCTTTAGTGATTGAAATGTAAATGCATGCAGCATTTAAAAGCGACCATAGAAGGAATAGATTCAGCAGCCTCTTGAATAAAAATGAAAGAGCGACATACTTGATTGGCTCCTCGGTGGCCGATAACTGACCAGAATTCAATTTGATCTTTTCTTTGGTTTGGTTTTTTACTTGAGCTTCACGGCCTGAAAAAGACATACAAGCTTTTTCATTACTCGAGTGATCAGTTTAATTTTCTCAAAAACTCTCTAGACATTGTTTAAATTTTATTATGAGCAAATTTAAGAAAATACACAAATAAATACTAGTAAAAAGGTTATTGACTTTAATCTTATTTGATCTGGATAAATATGTTGTTAACCAACTGTAATCTAAAAAACACAATGAATTAATAAAATATGGAATTACCGCTTCCGGTGGATCTTTGGTCGAGGCGGTTGAGGGAGCGGCTGCTTCTCATGAACGGGGCAGCGCTGAGGGCCGAGGTGTGGAGGGATGAGAAGCTCCGGCTGCTGCAGAGGCGTAGAACCGGTCTGGCTGAGCGAGACGTTTGCCCGCTGCCCTGCTGGCCGAGGCTGCCTCTTTTCAAACTGCCCCCAGATCCACTGGCGCTAGCAGCCGGATCACTGCCTCTGCTGCTGAGGCTGTGGCTCCGTCCACACCTGACGCTGGGTTTAGACGTCTGGCTGCCAGCCTGTTTGGCTGTACTGGATGCAGGTATTGATGATCCAGCTGGTTCCTTTGGGAAATAACAAAGAGAGGCTGGTTGTCTGGGAGGATACGTTGTAAAGACATTAAAGTAGTTGTAAGGCTTTCAGTTTTGAGGACCATAACATTGTAATGTCGAACATTGCACCTGCTGCCGATCCCAACATGGACTCTGTGACACGTTAAATCCAATCACCGCAAAGAGAACCTTAATCCTCAAAAGGAGCTCTTAATTTGCTTAAGTGCCATCTGACCGACACCGTGATCAATGACGGACACACACTAGAACTTAATCACACTTGTGCATAAGCGGTTTCTTCCCGTCTTTAGAGATGCAGACTCACCAACTGCAGAGACCATCAATCTGTGGCCGAACCGCCAGACAGAGAAATCAATTAGACGAGGCTGCAGAAGTCCTGACTTAGCAGCTTGTGCAGGTTGCAAAAGCGCCGACTTGATCTTCGGCCAGTAATGGCTTCATAAATAAAACTTTGCATGCACATCTGTCAAAACCATGCACCCAATCTGAGAAAAACGTGTCCATGTTAAATGAGTGTTGTTAAAATGATGCAAACATTTTAAAACACTATTATTTTCACTCTAGTTCCCAAAAAATTAAGCATCGCTCTGGAAAGATTCTCCCTCTAAATGAGTTTATAAATATAATTCAGAGGCTTAAAAGTGTTATGGGGATCTTATTCAAAGGACTACACGATCCAGTAAATTATCGGAAAACCACAACTCAGAACTATTTTAAGAACACCGCTGTGTTGCTCATCATGACATCATGGTATGCATGGGTAAAAACACTTTTTCTAGAAGAATAAATGAAGAGTAAAAATATAAAGTAAATAATATTATGAAATGTCACATATTGCCTAATGCTTATGACAATTTTTTGTTCTATGAATAAACGGTGAAATGATAAATGTGAGACGATTAAACACTTGATTAAGGCAAATAAATAAAGCTTGTATATAAAAATTGTAGCGCTTACCCTCCCCCTCGACTTCTGTGCAGGTGTGTTGTTCCCAGGCCACCTATTATAGAACATTGAGACAGTTAAGCGTAAATCATTAAACCTACCTCCACTTTCAGGAAACGATTATTTAGTAATAATATTAAATTAGATTCGGCCATCATCCTTCTTAATATTACCTTAATTATGTAATCAATATCTCAGCTGCCAAATGTAGGTTTTCATTATTAAGGTGTTATGTGCTCTACCTACAAAATAGTAATAGAATAAATAGATTCTGTAGTTAATGTTGACTTACCTTGGCGCCTTGGACATCATTTTCAGCTGAACAAGGAAAAATCGGCAAATGGGAATGTTAGTATAAATGTGGAAAGTTCAACCCGACACTGTTATACATCCGGAAAAGTCCCGTACTAACTCTTACTCTGACAAAAACCAAAGAGAACACCTCACAAACAGGTCGACACAGTCGTGTCCCAAAAAAACACAAACACAAATAATCCCATACAGAGTTGACAAACTCCATTAGAGTTACAGGATTAAGAATACAGCTTAACAGGATTACTTCACTGCAACTTTAGTGATCTTGACATGCCTGCCTACAATGTCTCCAGAGATACTGCAAATGTCATTTTTATATGAAGACACAGTATTTAACTTATATGAGTACAATCCACAACAGTAGTATCGAGAAACACATAAACTCTCGCAAATCCAACTGCAAGGATTTTGCTGCTTATTGCACATTCGCTCTGTTGATGACACACAAACCCACTGCTGTCACTGAGCTGTGAACTGACCTGAACTATCAATACATATTATAAAATACTGGTCCGATCAAATGAATCTATAACCAGCAAATGTCGCTAAACTAATTTCCATTTGATTTGATATCAAAATGTTTTCCTCCCCTTCAGGGGAACAAAATATGCTCTAAGCAAACATTTTGCAGTGGTTGAGAAGTTGGAACTACATCATCATCTTAATCAAAGGGAAGTATACTAGTTGGAAGTTCTTTAGGGTACATATTTTGTTTATTTTTATGAGTGATTGACAAGAAAGTGTCTTGTAAAAGGGGTAACAGAAAATGTGCTGCAAACACGTGTAGTCTCCACTTTATATTTTTAATTTTAATTAGACCGTGAGTAAAGTTGTTGTATTAGTTATAGTTTCCAGTTTAAAAAAAAAACATTTATTGTCAAAAGGATTCACGACACAAGGAAGGTTTCATCAATCTGAACCACTTCTGCCTCTCTGACAACAGCGGCGTTGATTGGCTGGCGGTCACGTGACCTCACAGCTGAGTTCGTTGGAGGAGATGTTTTGCTTTGACCGTTTATCATTTCACGTTAGCCATTTCTGATTAGCAACGCTGCAGAGTTAGCATAGCAGGCATCGTCAGTTGTGGACACAATGGCACAGGCGGCTCAGGCAAACGTCTTTGACGCAAACAGCTCTCAGATACAAGTGGAACACGATAAAAGGCGTCGGCAGTTTGTTATAAGGCTAAATGGTGAGTTCAACATGTAAACATTAGCATGCTAGCTGGCTAACGTTAGCTCCAAGGTTTTGTGTAGCCTTCCTCGCAGCCAACATCGCCGTCGTGTCCTTGTTGATATCTCCAGCAGCCATTTCAGACACAGACGCATCCCTGATTCCACGTAGTGGGGATGTCACGTATTTATTCATTTGTGTGTGTCAGGAATTAAAAGAAGGCAGTGCTTCTTGGTCAAAGCTGCTGACATTGACTTGAAACTTGACTTGTTTGTTTTTTTGGCAATAATGTCGTTGTTCCACTTCTGAACGCTAGTGCAAAACCTTCAATAGCATCCACTCCAAAATATATTCCTGAATATCAATCATTAGCTACTCAAGTGCTCTAAAAATAATCTGGTTCCTCTCTCAAACCTTGATTAGTTCTGCAACAGTTGTGGTCTTCGACAATGAAAACTGCATTTGTATGTGCATCAGTGATCCCTACAGAGTTGGGGTTGTTACTTCGGGGCTGGATGGAGACAAACACAACCAAGAACTGTGACCTCTGTCTTCCCTCAGGGTCCCACGATCGAGCCGTTCTTCTGTATGAGTATGTTGGGAAGAAGACGGTGGACTTGCAACACACTGAAGTTCCAGATGCTTACAGAGGTAGAGGAATAGCAAAGCACCTGGCCAAGGTAAAACTCATGCTATCATCACCTATCATCTTGAGAGCATGGAGGGTTATTCTCTTGTGCAATTTCTTAAAGGCCTAATATTTTTTTTTTTTTCAAATAATGTGTTTAGAATGTTGTTTGCATGGCAACCATTTAGTTTATTTTTTTTCACATTTCTCATATCAAACACATTTTATATGTAATTGAAGTTATCAAACAAAGGCCAAACCCAGACATTATATTGATTACCTGAATTTACTTAATATGATGATTTTGCTAGTAATTTGACCAATTATATTTGACAAGCTTATATCTTTTGTGTTCTTCAGTTAATCAAGTTTTGCAGTTTAGTTAGTTTAATTGAACTGCACAATAACAGTCAAATGCTGTCTGATTAAATGTCTTAACTGTTAAAATTATGATATTTCTACTTTTGGGATGGCAGGCAGCCATGGATTTTGTGGTGGAAGAGGATCTGAAAGCTCACTTGACCTGCTGGTACATTCAGAAATACGTCAAAGAGAATCCTCAGCCTCAGTACTTTGAACATATTTATCAATGACCACATATGGCTCTGTCGGAGAGATGGAGAAAGACACTCCCTGGGAATAAATACTGTGTGGCATCATGCTTTGGAGTTACAGGCTGACATACAAAAAAGGAGCCTCCAGCTTTGTTAATCATGACATTGAGTTCCTCCAGAGACTGATCTCGCGGCACCGACGTCCTTCAGCTGAACGTTGGGTCAACGGGTCGGTAACGTAAGGTTACACCATAAACAGGAAATGAATCAGCTGGTCACAACTCTTAACAACATGGGCAAATAAACTAACCCAAGCTGAAGCCTGTTACCTCAGACACAAACCTTCAGGATGCGTAGTCATCACCCAAAGGTCAGGCCTGTAATGACAACAAATATGAGTCAAATATTATGATGCAAATTTCTTGTCCTTTGGGTGTGAGCAGCGCCACTAGATGACCGACCAAGGTGTTTTTCTCCATGGTGGTGATGGCAGCGTTTCCGATGCTCAAACAATGACGACTTTTATATTTTGACCCTCATTTGATATTCTTTGGGCTTTGTTATTGTTCTTTTCTGCTTTGCCAAAAAGTTTTCGTAAGGCTAAAATGGACTGGATGAGTAGTAGGAGACACAACGAGTGTCTGTGTTGGTGGGGGAAGAATATTCGGCTCTCGATCTGTGTGTTGAAATGTGTGGGGCAGAGGGGTCGTCAAGGAAACAAAGGAGAGGTTAAAGGCAAAGTCATTTGTTAGTTCCTGGGTAATTAAAGAGAAATTATCAATTTCATTTATTTTCCCCAAATCTCAATTTGATTCCACTGTGACTATTTCCACTCCCACTTTTTCAAATAACAGAAAATGCACTGTTTTGTTATTGGAGTCGTGTATTGATTAGTCAAAGATGCAGGGATTTGTAAACCAAAGAACACAAAGATCATCATTTTCTCCATTACTCTTGCTAAATATTACAGAAACATGATAAATTGGTCTAAAGTTTGTCACTGTGTTGACAACACTCCAGTATGGATATGGATAAATATCTATCTATCTAAAAAACACCATTTCTAAAAAGACGCTGTTATATTCATGGCCTTTACATGGTGTCCTTTGTTCGTTTTTCAGTAAAATGACACTGGATGGCCGAAGCTCATACGCTGCTTTTTTCTTGTCATTCTTTTGTCTTTTTTCTTTTATTATACCCACATGGCTGCTTTCACCAGCTGATGTAAAAATAATAAAGGTCTTTTTTTATACTAATAAAACAAAACCTAGTGGTTCCCATTTGTTTGGGTCTTTGGGGCCTTTTGCTGTTGACAATCTTCTGTGTTGAGGAGGGAAATATCTCTGGACACCATATGAAATGTAGACTCCTCTCTGCTTTCATCACCTAGAGTTGTAGGAAAAAACTTTTCCTTTGTAAAACCTTAAGGTGAAACAAACTTATTGCAAGTCCAAGATACCCAATGTATTATTTTACACTTTGTGTTTCATATTTGTGTAGCAACTTTTATTATTGTTTTTTGCGTTTGACCTTATTCCATTTCAGTTGTCTATGAATAAATAAAATAATACTCATCACATGAATGTCGAAGTTTGTAAAAACTAATTCACTTATAGCCAACTTTAAAGATAAGATTAGATTTGTAAAATGTATTTTGCCAAGGTAGTGCAGTTATTCACAGAGGTACTTAAGTACAGGACGTTGTGTATGTACACCAAACTATGCATGTATATTGTGACATCTATAATGCATTCATGTTAAAATTCTGCAACAAACAGCCCAGCGTTAAAGACAAGAGGAAGAGTTTCGCCGACCTGAATTTGTCGCTGTGTAGTGACAGCATTAGGAGTCACTTGAACTCATTGTCATGTTGTGTGCTGTTGGCAATGCATTGGTGACCACCACTAACATGAGGAGCTGGATAAAACTGTGCAGGCTAATCTGCTCTTTGAAAGCACAGCAGCTCAACTACAAACCCAGCTGACCACCCTGTGACTTCAGGACTCTTGTGGACTCAAAGCCCCACCTGGTTCCTCAAGAAGACCCAGAAGTATTCTCGGAAGGGAGGGAGCTCTGTTCCCATGAAGTCAAGACCCAAACATAAAACTACTCCAACTCCGACGATGATTGACGATCTATGTGTCTATGTCTCTAACCTAAATCTGGAACTGTATGATCAAAAATACCAAAGCAACCATCATCACATTCAATATTAGTCACGTTTCATTTCTTTAATAGAACATATGATGGCATAATATAAACCGTGAATATAGCCTAATTGGCACATTAACTGGTAAACTCACAATTTTAAAAGATTGCATTGCCAATATGCTTGATTTGATTGGTATTGATACGTCACTCTCGGGCCCATGATTGAAGTAAACGGGTTAATTTAAGCCAAACTCAAATTCCTAAACGCAGACATTAGTTATTGCATCCAAAGCCCTTCAGGTTCCAGCTCATGAGCAGTGAGCCCACACTCGCCATTTGCCGAAGTGGTGCAGAGACGACTACAGGAGGGCACAATGTGGGTGAGCACCCTGGGATCCACAAACAAAAATCCAATAATTTATGTTAATGGATGGTACACTATATTGCATAGTGTATACAATATGTTATAACCCATGCATGCAATCCATCTGCACAACATTTGAAAACGGCTACGGAATGTATATGATTTTCCTTTTTAATATAGTTACTCAACTTGTTTGTTCTATAAACCAAAATTTCCTCAGTTTAGAATATGGTTTGACCTCTTGAACTTCTATGAGCTATTATAAAATTCTTGCTCCATAGACTTTTGGGAATAGTAGTCCCCATTCCAGTCAGAGTAATGCATCGACTGCGTTGAAACACTACATTACCCATAAGACCGAGCGCTCTCCTACGTCAACCGCAATCACGGTTGTATCTCCAACATGGCGTCGCTGGGAAGGAGGCGCGGTGTCCCAGTAAGCAGGGAGAGGTCAGTTACTCCATATCGTATATATTAAACGAAGAATGAATTTATGTGATGCATTCTATAGTCGATGTCGCCGTTCACCAGTTCCCAAACACACACGTCGCTGTGGACTGAAAGTGAGATGCCAACGCGAGAGGTCGGAATTTTATCTCGGGGTTAGCTAACATTAGCATGCTAACGTGTACGGCGCTGCAGCTAGCTGACGTTAGCAAGGAAACAGACTAGCAGCTCATGTGATGTTTTGATAATTTAACACTGGCCGGATAACCGTGGGAAAAGTTCAATTTCAACAGTTCGTGCGGGCGACGACCGTTTAAATGCCCCGTGGTTTGCATGCTACACACTTCTGCCCGAATCAAGTGTCTGCTGTGTTTGTCGACCCGTTAGTCTTGGTCTAACTTAGCTGGCCAGTCCTCCCAACTTTTTACCTTGTGAGCACGTTAGCTTTTAAGGTGATCTAACGACGTTCAGGTACGTCGTGTCCGCCGCGCTGTGATCCCAGAATTATTTTCTCTGGTTTCCAATACTCCTTTAGCCGATGGCCGCTGCCGCTGAAACCGAGTGAGCGCGGTGTCTAACCTTATCGAGGTGGGTTAGTGGCTGGAGGCGTTTGCCATCTTGTCAACTTTTACTGGAAGGCCGCAGAGTGACACTCACTCACTCAATTATCCGTAAAATAACAGTTTACGCGAAATATCAAGCGATTCTTCAATTAGACGACATCTAAGAGAAAGCAATTAATTCATTTTGTTCACATTTGAAACCGCTGCGTTTTGTGTAATTTCAAGAATATATTTGACTTGCATTCGCAATAATTAAAATGAGTGAATGTAAAACTATTCAATCTCGCTATGCTATATTCTTGAGTTAATGGAAAACTAGTTGCATCAATTAAATGTTTTTTGTAATTTAATGTATGGTGTGCACACATGTTGCAATGTGGTAAATCTTATGGAATTGCTATTATTGGGTATGAGAAACACCTGCAAAGTGAAGGTTCTTGAAAAACACATCTTCTCGTTCTACCCTTTATTCTTTCTCTCACTGTTCTGTCTGTTTCTGAACAGGGGCGTGATGGCGGCGACAGAATGCTACATTGTGCACGAGATCTACAATGGGGAGAACGTGCAGGACCAGTTTGAGTACGAGTTGGAGCAGGCGCTGGAGGCCCAGTATAAATACATTGTCATCGAGCCCACGCGCATCGGAGATGAAACGGCCCGTTGGATTTCCGTGGGCAACTGCCTGCACAAGACGGCCGTGTTGTCAGGTGCTGCTTGCCTCCTCACGCCCCTTTCACTGCCGGTCGAGTACTCGCGTTATGTGGCGTTGCCCGCCGGCGCCCTCAGCGTGGCCTGCGCTGCCCTCTATGGGATTTCATGGCAATTTGACCCCTGCTGCAAGTACCAGGTGGAGTACGACAGCCAAAAACTCTCGCGGCTGCCCCTGCATACACTCACCTCCTCGACGCCCGTTGTATTGGTGCGCAGGGATGATGTCCACAGAAAGAGACTCCATAACACGATAGCACTGGCTGCCCTGGCATATTGCGCCAAGAAGATCTACGAACTCTATGCGGTATGAGTGCACTCTGAAGAGGGTTTAAGAACCAACAGAAAAAAAGGAGAAAAACTAACAAAAAAATAAGCGAACCTATCCACCCCCAGATGTAAGAAAAGTGGAAGTCCCGATCATGCCCAGCAGTTGGCTCCGAAAATGTGGTGGGTGCTTCCATTTTGAACTTTGATCAGAGGGATATAGTTAAAACTAGAAGGAATGGTTTTCCTTTACATTTTCTTTACTTCTATGTGACGACAACAGTACACTTATTTCCGTAGTACCTTTTGCTCTCCTCCCCTGCGTCCTCCACCTGCATCCTTGACACAACAGCAAGTGCACAAGGATACGACAGCGGTTTCTCCGGATTGAATTGTTCTGCAGTTAAAACGGACCCACGTGTTTTCAGTATCGAGCTCTCTCCCTTGTTGTTTTGCTGTACCCCCTTTCTTGCTGGTCAGTACATCACCCTTTCATTAAAACATTAGGATGTTTCAAACTAACTTTTCTGTATTTTATTTAACGTTTCTCATTAAATCCTACAAGATGTTCAGAGACGAGAACATAGTTTCACCCTATTTGTCTTTTTCAAGTAGATCTTGTTTAAAGAGTGTAGGAAAGATCGTATGTGACAATGCTGTGGCTTAATGTTTTGTTTTTTTTTTAAACACAGAAATACTTCTGAAACGTCAAATTTCACACATGCTTCTAATGTATACTACATTACCAAGACAAAACCCCATAGTTAAAATAGAAAATTGATTTGACGTTATGGATAACAATTGCAGAGCCAATTATAAATTCACTTCCTTACATGTTCGTTGCTGTCTACATCAGCAATTTAAAAATGTCAGAGAACGAGGTAAAAGTACAGTGGAGGATGAGCTGTGATATAACAGGATGCTTGTAACCGATTAATGAAATGGAATTCAGATGTGAATTAGCTGAATATCAAGAGCGACAGTGACCTCGTCATGCTCACTGAATTTAAGGTACATCGCATACAAATGTTCACAAAAGGCTGAATAAGTATTGTTGACTTTGTCACCAGGATTTGTTCATGAAAGGTTTCCTAAGAATTTTGTGTAAATCCCTTAAAGTTCTATCAATGTATCAAATAAATTGTAAACTTGCTTGTGGTGTTTCAGTAAGTGCGGTGATCACACGACAGACAGTATCAGTATTATCCCAAAGAAAAAACCTTAACTTAATATTTAATACGGCAGTAATTCACTCTCTCCTGATAAACTGCACAAGTGAATAATCTGAGAGTTTATCTCATTTTCACTCATTGGGCCAAATCCAATTCTTTGGACTTCCATGGGGAGTAGAAATCTTTTGTCTGATGTACCATGAATATGGTTAAAACTGTCTGGACATTCCTGAGAAGTTTAAAAAATGGACTTTGAATGGAGTTTTAGGTTCATTTAGCGGATTCTTTTCCTACAGTCAAAACTCGACTAATCATTTTCTGATAAACACACACACAGTTTATGGGCGCAAACCTGTGTGTCCATCAGCGTGTCGCTGATTAGCGCAACCTACTGTCGAACTTCAGCTCCCACAATGCATAGCGGGGGGTCAAAGACGGCACCATTCGAGGAAACACGTGGGATTCTGTCAGAAGAACCCGGAAACTGCTGCGTCCCCCCCGGCTTCCGCCACCGTGTTGTACAGAACAACAACAACAACAAGGTGAGCTTTTAACTGTCCACGATCCCTGGTGATTAATTCAGTGTTTTCTTACAATGTAGCTAGAGGCTAGCTGATGTTAGCATTAGCATTCCCAGGTATGTAAGTTAACGTTGCTTATCAGTTACACACGAAGACCCCGCGCAGCCGATCCTTATTGCGCAAGCAGTGCTTTTAACTCGTAGCATGTGCCGTTAATTTAACCGGCTAATTAGAATCATCCCCATTGTTGGTAATCATAGATTGGCAGATTCAGGGCAGATGCTATCAGCTTGGGAGCCTGTTGTCCGATTGCAAAAAATTGGACCAAAACTCGTCTCATTCGCTGAACTCTTCGTTTCACTGAAACATAAGTTAATACAGACCAAATTTTGACTCGATTTTCTTTGCTTTTACACAAAATGAATAAAAAGACCACATTTTCCAAAATCAGTGAATTATAACCTTTACCAGCAAATTGTATATTATTAATTGTATAATAAAACATGAACAATTCCTCTGCATGGGAGCTTGAGAGGTTACAAAACACACACATTAAGTGTTTGGCTTTTGAAAGCGCCTTTTCTTATTTTTGTTCAATTTATTTCAACCAAATATGGTATTTGTTTTAAAAAATTCAGCAATTCAACAAATGTTTTTCATTGTCAAAGATGCCTACAATATTTTTTTTTAACAAATCATTCAGCTCACAAATGACTAATACAAGTTACCCGAGTGGAGGCTTTCTTTTGTAAACAGACCTTTTGTTGATGACTGGACTGGGTGACTTGGAGATGTTCTTTTTCCAAACAGTTTCAACTGGATAAAAACTTTTCCGAACTAAATCTTTTTCTACCTCGTGTCTGCAGCCAGGCTGATTGTCAGACATGGAGCGTGTCGTGGGAGGAGGAGTACTTCCGCTGCTTTTAGTAAGCGCGGGGATCTTGTTGCTTTATCGGATACTTGTTCGCCTCAGACCAGGAGCGGCTCTGCAGGACGCCGTGGTCGTCATCACGGGGGCCAGCTCTGGACTCGGGAAAGGTCGGCCTCCGTTCCTTCCTCTCTTCAGCTTCCATGTAGATGCTGTCTACCAACCAAGTCACATCCATGTGCAGCAGTTGATTTGCTTTGGTGGAAGTAAAATAACGTACAGCAACACGTGTCAAACTACTAACTACGACTAACAAATTGTAGCACTTAAATTGTACTTATAACGCCATCTATAGCAAATTGTAAATTGGCTTATTTGAGGAAATTGCACTCTCTTGTTTCTTGTTCTTCTGAGTTTGTACCCTATGGTTGAATGGACTTATTGTAAGTCGCGTTTGGATAAAAGCGTCAGCTAAATGACATGTAATAATGTAATGTGTCAGCGGTGTGGCGCATTTGCCGAGTCTCCGGCCCTGTTTTTGTATTCACAATGAACAAGCGGCGTGTTTTCGTGTTACGTAGAGTGTGCTCGGGTCTTTCACGCTGCGGGCGCGCGGCTGGTGCTGTGTGGACGAGATGCAGCCCGCCTGCGGCTGGTGGTCCAGGAGCTCACAGCAAGTTCAACAAGCTCAGGACCAAAGGTGTGTGTGCACGCAAAACAAAGTAGAAAGAAGAATTTCACTTTATTTTTGTTGATTTAGGGCAATTTTTGACATATGTCAATGCAACTGAAAACACATGTTTTACAACCCCCAGACTCACACGCCCAGCACCGTCACCTTCGACTTGTCTGACACGGGCACAGTGGACAAAGCTGCAGAGGAGATCCTGAAATGTTATGGGCAAGTCGATGTCCTCATCAATAACGCTGGAATCAGTTACCGCGGCAACATACTGGACACCCACCTTTCAGTACAGCGGGATGTTATGGAAACAAATTACTTTGGGCCCATCGCTCTTACTCAAGGTTAGTGAGCGGCCCTTTTGTTTGCCGGTACCGAGTAGTTTACTTAAAGTATATGTGATTTCTAAAAGTTATAAACGAGGAAGCCAAACCGTGAAGAAGTTATTTAATAGATCTTGAATTAAAATAAGGAAGGAAATTATTTGCAGCATGAATGTTTCAGATCTCCCAGAAGAGGAAGCACAATATTTAAATGAATCAGCTCTTTCTTTCCTTCTTCTTTCTTCTCTTCGTAGCTCTCCTGCCCTCGATGGTTCATCGGCGCAGTGGCCACATCGTTGTCGTCAGCAGCGTTCAGGGCAAGATATCCCTGCCTTACAGATCCGCCTGTAGGTCGTCTCCACTTGTTAAACAAAATCCGTGTGGTGTACTGAAAATGAAACAGGACTCTGGTTTCCACACGCTGTGTCCAGATGCCGCCTCGAAGCACGCCACCCAGGCCTACTTTGACTGCTTACGGGCCGAGATCGAGCAGCACGGGATCCCGGTGACCGTCATCAGTCCCGGGTACATCCGAACCAGCCTGTCGGTCAACGCTGTCACGGGAGACGGCTCCAAGTACGGAGGTGAGAGAGTGCGGTGTGTGTGACGGTTATCAGTGAAGCAGAAAAATGACGCATAAAAAGGCTGAACACATTTTGAATTAACAGATAAACTGATGCACTGTTTTCAGTTTTGGACAAAACCACAGCGACGGGTCGGGACCCCGGAGATGTGGCTCAGGCGGTTCTGAGTGCCGTCCGTCACAGGAGCAAAGACGTGGTTTTGGCTGGACCGCTGCCCAGCGTGGCCATTTACCTGCGAACGATGTGGCCCGCGCTCTTCTTCAAACTCATGGCCTCCCGCGCTCGCAAGGAGCAGAAGCTCAAAGACGAGTGAATCGCTGTGGAATCTCTCCTGTTGACCAAACTGTGAATATGTCAGCATGTGATGCAGGTTTTTAAATAGACTTTTGGATTTGGATTCGGTTGAGAAATAAAATGCTCAACTCGTTGACTAATAACAGGAAGATTGATGTCTAATTTTGGATTCGGTCAGCTCAGGTGTACATAGTCCAGGCCGCCAGCTGTTAAAACTGTTCAGTATTACAATTTAATGATGAAAAAAAGAGCAGGTGGCGTGTTGTTTCTGGGTCGCCTGCACGTTGTGGCACAGTGGAGAAAGGAAAGTCTACTTTTAGCTGTTTTCTTTTGTGGTCCAATGTATTTATTTTGGGTCGAGCAGTTTTCAACCAATGTTTTATTCCCTTCATTTCAATCCAGATGAACTTTGCAGTTTCAGTGGAATTTCATAACCAGGGAACAGTCTGGTCCACACTAACATCCTGTCAGCGGATGTTATTGTCATACAATGCTGCAGGAAATAAACGGGGACACGTTTGGAATGTTTGACCGTGAAATGGTGTTTTTGTTCCTTATATTTTGTTTATTAACTGAGCTGATTGGTTTTGCGGAGTGAGAATGTTTTTGGTTTAGAATCACGTATTTGAAACTGCTAGTATGTGGACTTCATTGAAAGGTTTCAACTGAGTACGCACAATAAATAAAACAAACAGGTTTTTAATAACTATCTTTATACACAGAATAAAAACACATTAAACATCTTTCTCAGTGTTTCTTAATTTAGACAAAAACAACTTTTTAAAATGTTAAAAATAAATAGTCCAAACAAGAATTTACCTTATCTTACAAAAGCGCAGGAAAGTCTATTGACATTTATACAGATACCTCCTTCAACATCTTAAACAAGCCAGATTCAGGGATAAACCTGCTGTTTATTTCTTATTAAGAATCATCTTGTATGTGAGGATGAAGCAGTCTCACAAATGAATAAACATGAGAAGAGCTTTTACACTGTAGAGTCAAAGCCCTCAAGGTGCTTGGAGACAGAATATTTTAAATTCCATTTGTGGAATGCGAACAAAAGCTCTCCTATATATTGTTCACAATACTGCATATTTGTGATGCTGGTTAATCTAAATTCAGAAAAACGGACTTCACTCGGTCGGTGTGAACAGTGGTACATTGGACTCTACACACCTTAACGTCAAGACATGGAGTGTTCTGTAAGCCACGGGAATCCCTACTAGCCGATGAGTATTAATGTTTCCGATTTGACTGGTGGTTAAAGAACACTACCTAAAAAATGCTAAAACTATGGCTTTAGTGTTTAACATCATTCCATTCCGTGTGACTGCCTCCTCTCGCACAGTTGAAACTGCATGTTACACCTGACATTCTTAACCAGTCCGTTCATATTCTGGGTTTAGAGTGCGGACTAGAAACAGCTCAACTCGCCTCTTTGATACCAGCAAGAGAGCTAAAGTATATGCACAAGGTTATTTCAAATAGCAAAACTAAAAACCAACCTGAAGAGTATTGCATTGCTATTTTCATCTCAACACACATTAATAAATGATCAATTGCGTGAAGCGACTCCAATGTGATTTTAGCGCAGGCTTCCAGTGAAGGAAAAACAACAAAAGCTGCCATTTTCCATGTAACAGACAAACCTGATTCAGAACACGTGTCCTGATCACAATCATGTGAAAAGGAGGGCTTTGCTGTATACTTTCCAATCCAATTATAGAAAAAAGTATCTAAATACATCCACACTTACTCTACACGACCTCCGTGCACACGCGTGCGTCAGCATCGACCTTTGCAAACGTACACATGAGCAATAACGTCCACTTGACCTGCGTGGGGCGAGGACGATGATGACGAGATGCACAAACTGTAGTTGGTTTAGTTGCAGAAAATCCCTCGAAAAACAGCGACGGCCAAGGGAGGGACGAGAGAGCAGGTAACGCTTGATATTCGTCACACATGTTGAAACGAGTCCCCGGTGGCACCCGGCTGTTTGCTGTCTGCGTTCAGGTCGGTTTAAAGCGAAAACGGGTTAGTGTGAACGTGGCCTAAAGGGATCTGCGCTGCACATTGTGGCAGATTCACACATTTTGTGGGGCTTAATCTGAGAGAATAAAAGACCAGACAAACGCACAGAGCAGGAAGAGACGTAAAAGATCAAGTCAAAATTGTTCAAATATGGCATAGTATTTTCCTGTACATGAGGTTGTGTTTTGTAAACGCATTTGTTTTTACTAAAGTGTTTGTTTTTAAAGGGCGTTTTACTTTAAAGAACAGTTCAGTGAATCCAACAACTCGCGTTGAACAATGTCGTGGTTCACTGTCATTATTGCACTTTTACAAACAGGGCCGGGGAGGGAGAGGGAGGGAGGGAGGGGGGCGCTGGAGGGGTCTTTTCTCCACTACAGGAGGGACAGGCGCGCTGGACAACACAGCGGCCTCCAGGTGGTCGCCGGAGCGAGGTCCCCTCCACCTCAGTGTGGTGGGATGGGGGGCTCGGTCACTGCCAGCTCTTGGGCGAGGTCGTTGAAGCGAGCGATGTAGTCCACGCTGCTCTCGCTCATCATGCAGGCGAGCTGAGAGTCCATCTGCGAGCAACCAGAGAGCCTTCAGTGTACGACAGTAATCACAGCGGCCTGCGCGCCAGCGGACACCAGTGAAAATCGATTCAAAAAGTTTTCCCCCGGGGACCACTGGAATTAAATAATAGCTCAACGTAGCTTAATGTATTGCAGTGTTGTTAATATTTAACTCTAGAGCAGAAAGGGAATTAGTTTATTTCCCCGAATAACTACACAGAAGCCCATTTTTATACTGGAAATAAATGCAAGTTTTAGCCTGCTGTAGACTCAATACCAAGAACGTACCTCTGCCACATCAGGAAGGCCACGGGACTGAAAGGAATCATGGGAGTTGCAGTCCAGGAGGCTGGGACCGAGCAGAGCCGTGCCGCTGGAGGGGCCGGACGGGGTTAGGGTGGTCCGCTTGCCCTTATCAGGAGAAACCATGCTGGCTGGAAGGAAAGGGGACACACGGTGAATGAAAAAGGGACCAAGAGCGGGGAAAAAAGTCCCCCGTCGGGGACAAAATCTACAGGTGTGTCAGTGTAGTTTGAAAGCAGAAGAAGTTTGAAGGCACTAAGCGTAATAGCATGTGCTTGTGTTTGATTATTTAGGAAAGAAAGACACTTACAGAGGAGACATCCCAGTGTGGAGTCAGACGAGTCGCTGGGGTACCACTGGGGGTCGTGGCAGGGCGACGGGATCCAGCCTCTGGAGGGGCTGGCGGAGGGAGACGAGGCCAACAGCTTGGAGGAGTCGCTGTTGCTCAGCTTGGCTGGAGAGAGAGCGGCCTCCTCGCCTGCAGCGCAGCAGGAAACCCGACATTAGAATACGCACACTGAGCTCAATAAGCTGTCAAATTGTTTCAATCCATTTTCTACCGGTTGCCACTTTTCATCTCAATAAAGAGTATATTGATGACCTAATGGCAATTTCCAACTGCAGTTTGTTTAAAGAAATGAAAAATATATATACACGTTTCCATGGTGATGTCGGGATAGAGGGTAGAAACTGAAACGCACCATAGTGGGCAGAGTTGATGGCGAGCTCGATGATGGAGTCACTGATGTGCGTCTGAGGTTCTCCGGGGACCAGAGCCTCCTCGGGGGGGCCTGGGAGGGAGATGTCCAGCAGCGAGGCCACGCTGGGTGGAGAGAGGAGAGAGTCCCCACCACCAGTCAGTCCAGGAGAAGGTGGAGGGTGACCATTCTGTAAAAAGCGAGAACAGGAGAACACTCATTCGTGCTGCTTTTTTTGTGGGAGTCTTTCGCAGTTGTGGGCCCTTTCTGATCATCAGTATCATATTGTTTCTTACACTAATAACCAAGGTCAGATATCATCGTATTCTTGAGGCTCTGCCTTTAAATAGGTGCATAGTTTGCACGCACCAGCAATGCTTGGCAGCAGTCCTACCTCACCTCCACCCTAAAGCAGTCATAAAGTAGTTCATTATGTGTAGATACCAAGTGAGGCAAAGCTCCCAATTTGAGTATGCAAGTGTGCGCCGCTGACCTCTGGGACGCTGTGCTGGAGGAGTTGGGCGTCGGTTTCAGCATCAACAATGGGCGCGGTGTGGAGCAGGGTGCCGGTATCAGCAGTGGGAGGGCTCAGCTCCCGGCAGGGACTGCCAGGGATGATTCCTGCCGACTTAGCAGCCAGGTCAATGGCACCTGAAACACGAGAGTTTGTCACGTCAGCACTCTACCGGATTAGTGTCAATAGTAACTGAGAATGTGGAAATGAAACCCCCCCCCAAAAAAAGTAACCACAGCAATTTATAAAACGAAAAAAAGGGTTCCTTGTGTCATCATATCGAAGAACCAAATTATTTTCATTTAAAACAAACTGTAAATAATAAAAGTGACTCACAAAGCAACATTAATTATACTCAAACTAGAATTAAGTTTGATAAAGAAAACAAAAGAAAATGGATTAAATAATGCAAACAGAACATACTGGAGAGCTGGCTGGCCGCTGCAGAGCTGGACGCCGCAGGGGAAGCTTTGGACAGGAGGGGGCGGGGGGAAGGACCCAGGCGAGTGTGGATTGGCCGGAAAGATCCAGTTCCTGAGGGGAGAAACCGGAAGTGAGGGAGCGGAAGATTAGCCGAATGGAGAAATGGTGTTTAGAGGGAGTTGGGCGAGCGTATGCGACAGTTACACATAAAGAAGCCGTAACAAAGACCTTCTGTCAATAACAGAACTACGACCACAACAATCATTTAATCATCTCCTGCTGACTATAAACTGTAGCAACGGGATGCCTGAAGAGCACCTGTGGCAGAGGAGTTGGAGAGGATGGAGAAGGAGCAGACGTGCTGGGGAGTGTCTCCTGTGGTTCGCGGTAGAAGTGTTCGCTGTGATGAGACAGAAGCAGCGGAGTTAAATGCACAGAGAAACACTAAAAATGCATTTTACAGTACAAATTCACCCATTTGCAAATGAAACCCTTCATTGTTCCTCCTGTACCTGAACGACAAGTGGTTTCCGGAGTTGTCTGTTTCGAGGTTTTCTCTGTCTGGAAAGGAAAAGATCCGACTTCATCTGTAAAAATGAAAGAGAAAGAAAAAGAGCAGATTAACATTTTGGCTATTTACAATAAACCCATTTAGTTGTGCATTGGTGGTCTTACACTGATGGAGTCGAGCTGCTGCTTGAGGGCGAGCTCTGCTTCCTTGTTGGGGGAAAACATTCTGTTGTGCCGCGAGCTGTTGGGGGGCAGCGTGGTGGGAACCGCAAACACGCCGCTCTCGGCGTCGCTGCTCGCCGCCGCTCCCAGCAGAGAGCGAGGAAGGTTGCGTCCACCTTAAAGGGGGGGAGGAACAAGTAAGAGATGTCAGGTGAGATAATGGAGGGGAAAAAAAAGAAAATCGAACAGCACCAAGAGATGCGTGAAACTAGAGTTTGTCTTTACTGGGGTTTCTACCAATACTGGAAATCACAGCATGCACACATTACTTTAGTACTGCAGTACTACATCATCACTTCTCATATTCATCAGCACAAACACATATTATCCGTAGCAACGGCAGCCTCACATGCGTCAGGAACCAGAGTGGACATGCGGGGTATGATATGCGCTTCTACTGCTCGGATACCTGAGACTCCGGCAGCTGGCAGGTGCAGCCGGGTTCCTCGGACAGAGACCGGCTGCCGGCCACAGCTGGGGCTGCGAACACCTGCTACGGGGCCCTTCCCCGGAGGCGTGAGGGCCTGGCTTTGCTCCTCTTGATGGGCCTTGTGTGGCGATGTAGCTGTGGAGCACAGCTCTGCAGCCTGGAGGAGAAGACACATTATAGACACCTGCTGCTGACCAATTACAGGGTTTTTTTAATACAGGAGGAAATATGTAACAGTAATTCCTTTTGTTCTGGGTTCGTAACCGCTCGGTTAAATGCCCTAAAAAAGTCACAATGGATAAAAGCATCAGCTAAATGATAAATGTAAACAGTTAATCAGTACCAAAGGTTTAGGATTGACCTCGGTGGAAACCAGCTTGAGCAGGCAGCGCAGAACGTGTTGCGTCCTGATGGGCTTGCGCTGAGCTGGTCCGTTTTCTGGGCTGTTGAGAGGACCTGCGGTGGGCTGCCACTCGTACTCCAGCTGCAGCTTGCCCGGCTTCCCGAACATCAGGTAGAGCTCAGCCAGGGTGACGTTCTCGGCGTCCCGCGCGCTCCAGCCCTCCCCTCTGATCTGCTCGACGGCCCGCTCCCTGGCTGCCGGGGCGCAGCCCTGCGACATTCCCTCCTCCGGGCCGGGGGCTGAAGGTTTGGCCGGGGGAGTCTGGTTGGCCTCTGGGGAAGACGTGCTGGGGCTCCGCTCCTCATTGCACGGCTCCGATGAGCTTTCTGTGACACCACACGACTTCTCAATGCTTCTGGTCGCTGCGGAACCACCACTGGCCTTCACGCCAGGACAGATCCTTCCCCCTTCAGGGGGTCCTGTCCCCGTTCCCTCCTCCCCAAGAGCCACAGTCTGCAGAGAGGAAGCAGGGGCAGAAACAGGCGGAGGTCTCTTCTCCTCGGCCTTTGCAGAGCCGTCTTGTGAAGGCTCGGGGTTAAGGGGGTCAGTTCGACGACTATCACACAGCGCGGTCGCTGAAGCACCGGCGCCGCCTCCCCGTCCAGATTTGGGGCCGGTCCGAAGTGCCGGAGCGGTGTGAATGCCCAGAATCTGGGCGGCGGGCAACTCCTTGGCATTAGGCCGATTCTTGCCGTTCTCCAGCCAGTGTACTGTGCAGGAGGCCTTCGAGTGAACAACACGTGCCACACCAGGCAGTGTGGTCAAAGTGCTGCTCTCAGCAGGATAGAGAAAGAGATCGTCCTGCTGGGATTTGCTGGGAGAGACTGTGGCGGACGGGCCGACCTCCAGAGCCTCCCTCTCCATGAGACTTTTAAGCTGATGCATCAAGTGTCAAGGTCTCAAACATAAAGGACCGAAACATTTAGTGCTGACGTGGAATACCAGCGCTCCTAATCACACGCCAAAGTAATGATTATAGTAGCAGCTAGTGTATCTAATAGAGAAAGCTTATCATGGGTAACGACATCAGATAACGATGGGATGAGAAACTTGTATCACAGGCATGCGCTGTCGCAATCAGTGTAAAACGTATGATGTTTTCAGAAGGATACAATGCGCTGGTCCTGGTATGCCCACTTCTGTTTCAGATAATCAATGAGGCTGGAGACTTTCCTGTGGAGCTCCACCACCATCCTGAGAACGAGAGAAGAGTTGATTTACAAGCTGCTGTGGTCACATGGTGCAGAACAGCACCGGGCGATTTGGTGTCTGTGCTCCGAACACATAAAGCACTTTTAGGTCCCACACTAAATTCATACACTATAAAAATATAGATTCACTTGAGTTATTGATCTGGGAAACTTAAAACAAACTTCACATAAATACTAGTTTTTTTTAAACAAAACAGCTTTGTGCTGCTTCAGTGGCAAACATGCATCCTTGTCAGAACTGCTTAACAAAGAAAGATCTGGCTTGCATTCTGTTATTGAACTGTGCTGTTTTTGCAAAGCAAAAATGAAGAAACCGTTGCGACGGTTGGAAATAAATTATAATAATTAATAATATTTAGACTAATAAACAGGAGTTGACAGGCGTGGCTGACCTGAGGCGCGGGTTGTGGGCTAGACTCTGGACGCGGGCCCAGGAGTGGTTGCTGCGTGGTTGCAGCTCCACGGCCACCTTCAGGGGGAGACGCACGGGCTTCTGGTCCTCCTCATCACTCACTCCTGAAAGGACACAAAGACACAATGAGATCGAACGGGGAACACCAACAAACCCCTCACAGAAGAAGTGATACATGAACAACAGCTCAACAGCACAGAGGAATGCGTGAGTGAGTAGAATTGAGGACAAACAGTTCAGAATTAAGTTGTACCAACTTTCCCGCTTAATGGATAAGCAGGCAACCAAAAAGCAGAATCTAAACTCAGTGGTACTGAGGAGGAAACAACAAACCAGGACGAGGACCGTTGAAAATGAACACCGAGTACATAAGAAAGAGGTCAGATGCATGGTGGCATTATGATTTTCCATCCTCGTCTAAAGTAAACATTCCCTCTAACATTGAGTGAGTGGCTGCTGCTGGCCGGTCAGACCCCGTCATCTCCATCATCTCCCTCATCTCCCTCCTCCTCAATTTACTCCCACAGTGTCTCCATGGAAACACGACTAGCCCACACGCTGCCATTGTTATTGCCAAAACCCCGCCCCCACACACCCCGTGCCTCTCCATCACCGTGGTTTGTGGCGTACGTATGCGTTCCGTGTCATATGCTCACCGTCTGGGTCACAAAGTTTCTTCAGTGCTCGGCACATGGGGGCTTTGATCCGCAGGTTCCTCCCTTTGGAGCGCACCGTGGTGGCCCTGTTCAAACACACGGAGCAGCGGTGAAAGCTTTAACTTTTTCTGCATCACAAAGACAATACTTGACAATCTCAGAGGTTTAACACAAAAACTGAGAAACATGCGAGTAGGCAATGCAGTTTTCTCCTCATCCATTATGACGGGACACTTACCCTTGCTGGATTAGTTCGTTCAGCTTTGACACGTTCTTATCATCCATTACTGTCAAAGACAAAACACAGAACTGTTTACGACATCGTCCCTCGGGAGCAGCTGTCCCCCGCGACTGGGAGGGTGCGGTGTTTCATCGCATCCCTTGTGTCCCAGACTAAGAGCAGAAAAACACTCACACACTTTGTTAAAGTCATGCACAGCCTTCACTTACACCCGCCAACTTTTTTGCGCAGCTCGGCATAGCAGATGAGGCCGTAGAGTTCTTGAGAGGATTTCTTCAGCACTCTGGAGTACACTGAGAACAAAAAGGTGGCTCAGGTCACAACCGGGGCTGTGGACAGGAATTTAGGAGGCATGTGCAAGCTACATGGAGATAACACCACGCTGACACTGACGGGCTTTTTGAAGTGAAGTAAATACCGTTCTACCTGCGAACTTACGCCGAGACTCAGTCAGACAAATATAAAGGGCAGCTCACCATTCGCAAAGTCGATGTGCTTGGAGATCTTGTGCCAGGTCCGGTAGTAGAAGTGGCGAACCTGCTCCTTGTTCTTCACCATGTTGGCTGGCTTGCCTCTTTTCTTGTACTTCATTGCAATGTTGTTCTGGATAGCCTCAAAGTCCTTCCCATGCTGCAGACCGGACAAGTTCAGAGTTGAGTACAGGATGTCCAAAGAAAATGGCAACACTTAAAAGGTAAAGTGGTGCCACATACGGTGGGGCCCCTTTTCCGATCTTTGGAATTACGTCCTGCCATTTACCTCGTAGAGTCCCTCAAAAAAGCTGTTTTTGTCCTCTGTGCTCCAGGACTCCCACTGCCGTCGAGCTCTCTTCTGGTTACCGGCTTGCTCCTCCTTCTCAGCAGACCCCTGGCCCTTGGAGGTCTTCGACACTCCGCCTGCGGAGCCAACCACCGGCCCTGATTGTCCGACTGTTCCCTGGGAAGAAGAGCCATTCTCTGCCCCTGTGTTGGACAGACACAGGAGACATCAGCCGTGAAACATTCAGAGAAAAACATACAGCTACAACGCCGTGGGTAGAAGCGCAAGAATGTGTAGCTGCTGTTTCTTCAGGTAGATTTAAAAAACGAAATGCATGCACACAAAGCCACCCATTGCACAACCGGCAGAGCTTATCCTTCAGTGGTTCAGCTCTGGCAAGGAAGCAGGAAAAACACTTAGTCCCTAAGGCCAAGTCCGCGGTGCACAGGTCCAAAACCACCTCCTTGCGGGCCCCTGATGGCTGCGTTTACACCGGCACACAGCACCGTGCCAGAGGCTTAAACACAGGCACAGAGGCAGTTGGTGTGTTTCTGTAAATGTTCATTTACAAATGTCTGTGGGTGGCGGGCAGTAACCTAGATGTGTTCCTCTGAAAATAGATGTGCACCAACATAGGATCAGATCAAAATGAGTGGGGCTTCCTTGGTCAACCGGTCAACCCCCGGGCAATGTAAATATACACCAGTCTCTTTCTAACAACAATAACAGAAACCCACTAGTCATAGTGCACTGCACACCTACTCAACAATATACTGAAATTGTTCTCTCTGATCGGAGTCCAACTCATTTCGAATTTTCAGGAGAGAAAGGAAACATGCTTTCATAACAGAGCAGAATAATTATAAACACTGAAACAAGTCAGTAACATTTTATCACAGAATAGAGTCGAAAACTAGATGTTTCAGTAAGGCACCGCTTCAAAAACGCTTATTTACATTGTATCTATGGATCCTTTAAAATTCTAAATAACAATCAGTCCGCTCAGTTTTTCTATTTGCTGAAAAATATTTTTTTAAATGAAGTGAAAGTGCAACAACTGTCCGTAACAACGTTGCTCTTTGTGCTGCCATCCTTCTTATGCAGAAGGACTAAAGTCTTTGCTCAAATATACATATATTTGTTCTACACTCGCGTCAGCCAAAACCCACAACGCCTAATTCGTTTCGAAAGGAACAGCTACAGAAACCTAATGGGAAATTAAGTTCTGCTCTTGACAGGACCGTGAAAAAGAAAATCCCCCCCCCCCGAGGAGGAGGGGAGACAAGCCGGCCAGTGTCCCGGAGGGAGAGCAACAAAGCCCCGCAGCAGCTTATCCATCACTGGTAAACAAACAGTGACAACCGGGAGCGGACCTCCGCCGCCGATCCCACCGACGCGCGCCGGTAGTGTCCCGTACCTTTCGATTTCGCCCCGCCGTGTCCGTTGACGCCGGAGCCGACCGAATCCTTCCGGATCCGCTTGCTCGGAGGTCGGACGCTCGACCGCAGAAAATGATGCTGGTCGTGGCACGGAGGGGCGGACTCCGCCGAGGTCTGCGGGCTCTGCGTCGAGCCGGCTCCGGTTCGGCCCGGCGGCGAGTGCGCCGAGCCGGCCGGCGGAACCGGAGCCGAACCGGGGCTGAGAGCCGCGGCGGACGGGTTGAGAACCTCCACTCCGTCGTCGTCCCCCTTTGTACTGCGCTCCTCGCTCGCCTGCTCTCCGCTCTCCTCCTCCTCCTCCTCCTCCTCCTCTTCCTCCTCTTCCTCGTCGTCGTCGTCGTCGCAACCTTCGGGCTTTCTGGACGGATTCGTCCGCCCGTCGACGCCGATGCCCTCCCTGGAGCCCGGGGTCATGCTGCCAACGACAGATCGCCGGGGAGGAAAAAATAGTCACGTTAGGCGGCGAAGCGGCGTGAGAAATTAAACTTCTGGAGACGACGTTCACTGTCTCTCAAACATGGCCGCCGCTGTTTGTTTCAAATCCCCTCTCCGGTCCCGACAAAACAACACCGAATATATGCATTAAACCTGTTCGGCTGAATTATAATTGGCAAAGCAAAGAGTTTAGCAACTGTCGGCGGTGCTTCGCCGAGTGTCTCCGGGCTCGAAAGGCCCGCATTTCCGTTCGAATTTCAACTAAATTTCAAATGCGAGCGCTTTTCGGTTTAGCGCCCTGCAGAAACGACAACGAAACCCGTCGCTGCCTTCGACCTCCGAATAAAGTGTTTATTCTAAACATATTTTTACCCGTTTTCGTGGTCTTCGCTAGTAGGCGACGTCTTCTTTCTTTTCACCATCAGTCCGAGCGGTTAGATTGGCGAACACAGTTCAAATTGAGCATAATAAAACCGAGAGCGATCCCTCCGCTTTCTGCCCTCTCCTTGCTCCTGCTTCGACTGAGCTGAACTCTCTGCGCAGTTCAACTGTTTTCTATCAGCAACATTACTCAATGCTTATTGGCAAACCGAAATTAAATGGTAAAAAATCAGATATATTCACGGCACGCGTTTGAGGGAGGGGAGACTTTACTTGAGCTTGTGTCCGTGGAGCTGAATTGATAAGCACAGATAGTTTTATTAACCTGCGCGCAAGTGGACTTTGTTTGTCACTACGTCACCATCGCATGCAGAAATTGTGTCTGCAAAACAATGTATTTTATATATGTCCTGTGATTGTGTGGCTTTGCGACAATGCACATGTTTGCTGGCATTACAATCGCTTCATACAAATACTAATCATGCTGCTGGACCGAGCTATGCGTGGCTCCGGTGCACATCAACCCCTGGTGCATGATGTTTATAATTCTGTTGTAATGTGTAAACATCACAGGAGTGGGATTTCTTGATTATTATTTACTCGTGAATTTATTTCTGAATAATCTGGACTGTGACAGCTCAGAGGGACGACGGCAAACGACAAAGTTATTTTAAATGAACTTGAGCAGTTCGATTGTGAAAATGACTGAGGTCGTCAAACATTACCACATATCATTCAAATTCCTGTTTTTAGGCATCTTCATGCCAAATTTCAGATTCCGTCATCCACAATGTACACCTCGGATAGCAGTAATGACAACTGAACTTCTAGTTTGTTTGTGTTTAGTTTTGCTTCTTGGAAATGTGTAATCACTAATGTCAATAGAGTGTTGCCATAATTGAAATAGCAGGTAATAGCGAAATGTTGTTTTAATGTAGCTTTAGGCTGATCCTAAATCTTACAGCATCACACGTATTTCAGTTACTAGACTGTGTAGGTCAGTCCGAGCAGCCGAGTAATACAGTTAGGTATGTACAAACACTGTCTCTGCTTTTATAATAGCAAGTTAACAACACCGCTGTATTGCTATTGTTACTATCTACTAGTTAATGACCGGCAAGCTATTTATACAGTTGTCATTCACTCCATTGTAAAAAGGCTGTATTAAATGCCTGCAGTAGTCGTCCCCATATAGAACGTGGTACCTAACGTTAGCATGGCAGCTGTCGTTGGCTAGCTAACGCGTTGGCAGTCAAACGAGCCATAGCGTGACAAAAACGGCTTCCAACCAAATTATTATATCACGCAGAAGCTCAAACTGTTTGTTAGATGGATGACACAAATCAAAGTTCAGGAATTACCTGAAGTGGAAGGCTGTTGGCGGTATTAATAATCGAGACACGCACTAGCATTGCTAGCTGACGGCATCCGTCCAGCTTGTTGCTTGTTGCCGATGACAGTTCCTGCGGTTCGATTGTGCACGCTTTCAGACACGCCCATTACAACTCAAAAACAAATCCTATGATTGGTCAGAAATACACGAGGACAACGGTTAGATTTGATTGACGGACAGCTCCGCCAATTGTTGGTGAGAGAAACTATGCCGATAGACCAATTGCTATTCTCTTCCTGTTATGGCGTATAGGTATCCGAATAAATATTTTTCTAATTCAGAGCCAGTTAGACTCCTCAATAATCTAACACGTTCGTTCATAACAAAGCCTTATTTTAACAACGTTAGATAACCGCAATGTAGGTTTTTGGCGCTTATAGAATAAGTTCCGCCCAGAAGATGATTGACATGTTGACGATCAAATCAATAGGCGAAAAACGGAGGATGCACTGGAATTACTTCCCGGCGTACGCCGAAAACAATCCCGGTTAAACAAATATTTAAAACTTAGAACACATTCCCGTTATTCAAACCAGGCTCACCTGTGTCACTAAACAAGAGCCATATGTCAAGAACACCGCATATATTTGGTGACTTTGGAAGACCATCAGGGTGGAGTTTTCTTTGTCTATTGTTTATATGCATGTATGTTTGTACGTGTGGACGTATGTATTAATATATATTAATACAATCGATGGATTAATAGATGCATTAATATTGTAATAAAATAATAGTTTCTCTCCAAATAGTTCTACCCCATGGATTCCTTGATAAATGTTCCTGAAGGCATACCAGGTGTATGAAACGAGCGCCCCACATTAGTCGGCAGCTTGGCATTGGACCAATTGTATTACTGCGTGTCATAGTCGGGGGGGCTGAAATTCTTCACCCGGAGTTCACGCGCAGACAGGAACTTGCTGGTCGTCCAGTTGGCAAACCGACGAAGTTGTCTTGGAAGACTTGTGGGCTCAAAACAAAACCATTATGACTTCGACGAACATGTTTCAGGGGTTAGCCACGGGTACAAAACCAAGTTCCAGGTAAATACTATTGTCGTGTAGCTTGGGTATCTGCGTGAGAAATGGCCGACAACGTCTTATTTCTAGAGTCGGCGTTCGTTCGGTCCGCTATCTCATTGTAACGTTAGGTTCACGTTATATGACAGAAGCTCCTTTAAACCTACGCTTATTTTCCCCTACCACTTTTTTAAAAAAACATTACAAAAGCAATGAGCGACGTGACAAGTGAGATAAGCGAGGTGGCTTGGTTTGAGGTGTCTTGGCAAACTTTGAACAGCCGAGAATTAGCTTTTAAGCTAACCGACCAGGCGTTGTCTGCTGCGCTGGCGGAAGTGTGGGGGGAACCCCCCCCACAACCGCTCTCCTTTGTACTGGCCATAGGCCTCCAGGTTCCCTTTAGTGACTACAAACCGCAAGTTTCGCCAAGTAGTCCAGAACACGTACGTATCGCATGCTCCAACAAGCCATTGTTTCCGGATGCATGGCGCCAGTCCCCGGTCCACTACGACACCCGGGCGATAACCAGATAACGTGTTATTTTACTGCCAAGTCGCAGACTGTCGTCTGCACTGGAACATATTCTTAACCTGGTTGTCTCACTCTTCTTCATGTGCCATCGTACCAAAGTAGCATATTGTTTCTCTCCGTAAACATGATCTTCCATGACATGATTAACATTTTTGCAGGGATCCACATTTCAGGACAAGGGTTCAGTAAAATGCGGAACCGTCCATCTGTATTGAAAGTGTCTTTGACAGGTCAATAAACGAAACCGAAAGGGTTAGATTGGATGGGAATCTTATTAAACTGCTACTGTTCTCCCTCCCCTGCAGGGTGTTGCAGCCTCCTGGAGGTGGCTCCAGTAACTTGTTTGGAGGCTATGAAGACGACTCTGCAGCATTAAGAAGACCTAACAAGATGGCCTCTAAATTGTTTGCTCCACCAGAGGAGGTCCAGAGTGGACCCAAGCGCTCCAATCCTCCAGGTCAGACCCACGCGCCATGCCTAGCTGATCTACAAAGGCTGATCGGCCATAACCTCTATCAGTGTTACTATGTAGTGATACATTGAGTATAAACATGTAAATAGTTCTGTGCCTGAATGCAAATCCTCCTCCAAATTCCGTGGAGTATCTGGTATAGTTGTAAGTTTTCCGTCCAGCATATTGTTACAAAATGGTTCTGGCATGTACTGCTGAGTCACCCTGAATACCATACTGTATCTGTGTATTTTTCACTGGGATGTTAGCATCCCACTTTATGTGTACAATATATTACAAAATAGTTCTTAATACCAAATAACCACTGTACATTTTGGCCATGTGTCATTACTGCAAGACTTCACCAGCCAATCAAAGGTTACAGAGAAGAATGTGCAATATGTTACTGCTGCCAAACATACGCTCATTGGTGATGTTTCATGTAGGTGGGAAGAGCAGCGGAATATTCGGGGATCCTGAGCCTCAAACTCGTCAACAGAGACACAAACCTCCTGGTGGACAAACAAGTAACATATTCGGTGCTGCGGAGAGTGCACCGGCCCAAACCGTAAACCGAATGCACCCAAATAAGCCAAAGGTAGGCCGAGCACCTGGAAGGTGTATTCTGTCCCAAATGTGATCCTCATTTAATCCGGTACGACATGAACATGTGCAAAATGTGTGACATGCACTGGTGTATCCATCAGTCCTCCATATGGGTCCATAGTGCAACCAGAGTACTGTTGGACTGCTGAGTCACTTCATAAGGATCTCCGCAGTGATTTAAATTCCAAGCAAGCACTTCTTAAGAAATCTATGAAGTTACCAGTTTTCTGTAAACTGGTTGAGGGTGTTAATATTTAATCGGCTAAAGCTAAATCATGTCAAGATTATAATTAAACATACCTACTTTGATAGGAACAGGATTGAAGTTGCACTGTTTAAAGATGCTGCTTTAGTTTTATTAAAGTAACATGAGTGCCTTTAAAAAAAACAATAATAATAATTAAGTCCTTTTTTAGTTGATTATACAGCAAGAATACTCTTATTTCTATTTTTCAGGACAATCTAGGTGCGGAACCTGAACCCAAATCATCACCTGGTGAGTCACAAAACTGAAAATGTCCACTGATTTAAATTTATATTTCAGTGCAAAAAAGGGGTTTATTCTTTTATTCCAGTGTCTTCCCTTCCAGCACCAGAAGCTACAGTTGCCCAACCTGAAGTGAAGGAGGAGGTGCCTCCGCCATCTCCCATGCCGGCCAAGGAAGAGCCTGCTGTTGTCCTGGCCTCTCCTGAGCCCCGCTCTCCCCCTCCCTCGTCCCCACCTCCCGAGGAGACGAGTCCTAATGATGGTGATGGGAAGAACCACGAGCCGCACCTGGGACCCAAGCCTCGCTCTCACAACAGGGTCCTCAACCCCCCCGGTGGAAAGTCTAGTGTGGTGTTCTACTGATCAGCTAACACGCATCTCTTTGTCTGCTCCCCTGTCAATCTTCTCTCATTCCAACGCCCCTCTCCCACAGTCACCTGTACATTTAAACACGGCGCAGGATGTTTTTGTTCTCATCAGATTCCTATTCAAATTGCACTTTCAGCCCTATTTTTTGCTTCCAACTCTTTCCCCAGTTATTCAACGGAATCTACTGCAATCATTCGATCTCCAATCAACCCCCTAACTGTGACACTGTGATCACAATAATTACCGTAACTCAGTTGTTTCCTTCTCTGTTTGTAAATGTGCTTTGGGTTCGGCCACAGTTAATCTTTTTTTTTTTTTTTTTTTAGGCGCTGTGGCGTCTCATGGGTGGTTAAGACATTGGCGTGCTTGTACAATTGTCAGCTTTAAACGGTTCTTTGTTTAAATGATTTGGTGTAAAAGAAAAAAAAACTCAATCAGAGCATTAGCTCAAATTTGACGGTGTTTGTTTTAAACCGTAACATGTAGCTGTTCCATCAGGAGGGGATGAATACTTCACCGATGTAATATTAAAATGTTTCAGGGAGTTTCACTAGTACCACCTTTCTGTGGGTTGCTGGAACTTTATTTAATTGCTACATAAAACGTTTTGTTTAACTAAACAATCTGTTGGACTGCTACCAATAGCTGTATATCCAAAGCCTTATACCAGCTTGGGATTTTTCCTCTTTCTTGCCTTCTCATGCTTCATCCCGTCATTTCAACATGAATAATCCGTTGCCCGAGCACGACTTATGTTCAAGGATAGATGCTAAAAATTGACCATGAAACAACAATGATGCAACGGTTTACTCCTAAAATATTTCTGCTTCCTTAAAGAAAATTCCATTTTGATTGTATGCAGGTTGATTACGCTGGTACTTCTCTGCTTCCTCTTCATTGCTTGCTTTACCTGAGAACACACCTTCCATGCTTGGGGTAGGCCTCTGATTATGTTTTAAATTAAAACGGCTGAAGACATGTGAACTCTGGACAATCGCGTGACCTGCCTGGGTCCAGGTGGGCTCATTGATAGAAACCTTTTCTCCCAATTCATGACGCACGTTTGTGGTATTCTGGTGCTGGCCTGCCCCCCCCACCTCCCCCCCTCGATCCCCCTGCCAGTCCTACCGTGTGTTGATGTGCCTGGCAGGCAATAAGCACAGCAGAAGAAAATCCTGTGTATTGCAATAAAACTGTTTGTTTTGCATTTAAAGGATGTTTTTGTTTACTTTCTGAAAACACAGCAGATTCTGAACACGGTTTCTCCTATTTTAAAGCAGTTGAATACTTAGGTTTTTATTTAGGTTTTCATACGGAAATGGAAATGCCATGCATACCTTGCTAACTGTTGGCCCGAGTCTACCTAATGTAATTTACTTTTGTTTCTCAGAAAGTCCTGATGCTTTTGCCCAGATTTCCCAGTCCAGCAGCGCTCTGTGAGACCGGTGCCGTCTTGCCGTGGAAGAAGATGCAGTTCTAGCTTTATTTCTTTGTATTCGTTTAAGCAGCAGTCCAAATATCACGTTTGTGTGTTATACAGAGATAAACATGAGTCCTTTTTTTAGATGAGTCTTTGAAGCCCACAATACTCCTTTATTTTTTTAACTTTACATTCAAGTATTAATAGACTAATATGTCAGATTAATATGCTCAAACACACATTTCATAAAAATGGACACATTGGTAGTTGTCAGGCTTGTAATTTAAATGTCGTGCTCTGCAAGTTGGTAGAGTGACTGAAGGCATCGGAGAAGAATGATTCCGTCTTTTGGACCACTGTGACCAACACAGCCTCTTTGACACCCAATCCTGTTTCATGGGCAATAATGCGTTCGGTACCATTAAAACCAGACCCTAGCGTGACTTCCTCCACCAGACCAAGAGCCAATGATCCTACAGAGTGAGCTGGTCCTCGGATTAGACTGATCCCACCACCTCACATCTAACGTCCTCTTGTCAAAGAATTAGCAAGTGACCAAGCAAATTGTTGTTAATATTTAGTTTTCACAGCATAAACAGATTCATGTGGGTTGAAAGCTCCCAAACCATTGTTGATTTTTAATGGAGCGCCCAGCTTCTGCTGTCTGCCTCTGAGCAAAACTGATGAGTGGTGTGAAAAGAAACTATGATTCGTATTTCACTGCCAGCTGCTGAATGAAACATCAACAACCGACTATTGCATTTCACTCTCATCTCCCCTCTCAGAGTGGTCATTTAAAAACGTTTTGTAGTTGTTAGATATTTAGGTGGTTCGAATTAATTTCTGCTTTGAGCGTTGGGCGATACAGCAGCTTTGACGCTCCAATGACCCCCTTTTTGTCTCCATTGTTAACTCTCTTCACAGCAAACAATAGTTCAAGCTTCACTCGTCAGCCTGAAAGAAAGTTTAAATGAAAGATGTTTGCTCTCCACTCCTCTTTTTATTTTATTGTCAAAAATAATTTTCATTTGTTCTCTCCCCTCTTAGAATGCAGTGTAGCATAAATTAATGCTACATAAAAGTAATAAAAAAATATCTGTAATTGATTTGTTATGTCTGGACTTTTGGTTTCATTTATTGGGGAGTGCATTGTCACTATTATTTAATTCTAGCAGCAGTTACTGTACTACTGCACACTTTGGTGAAGTATAATACAAAGATAGTTGTAACTTCCAGTTTCAACTTCCAAAATAAAACCAAACAAGTTTGTGACCACATGAACCAAATTAAATTTAGTAATTTGACATAAAAATGGGGGAAGGAATCATGTTAGCTAGAGCCTTGAACAAATTGGTTGAGTGTTTAAGGAGATCACAGTTTATTAAGTTGTATTTTTGGTTTGTGTTCATTTGTCTTTTATGTACATTAATACGGATGCAACATATCAAGATAATGAGGTTGAGCTCTGTATTGGAAATTGGGATGTAAATAGGATGTTGTTCTTTTTGGGTGGTTGTTGACAGGATATTTCTTTTTATTGATATGTGCAAAAAGAGAGAATGTCTAATTTCATTAACACAGTATATTTCTATTTGGTTTGATAAATTAGCTCACTAAGAATAGAGCGATGTTTAGGGATCATGACAACAAAAAGTATTTTTTTAGACACTGTTGGGGGTCAAACCACAGATTCGTTGAGTCCTACCTGTCCCACTATATTACAAATAGTTTTAACAACTAGTTATTTATCCACTGCAGACATGGAATACATTATATAACTTTTTAAACCAGACTTTTAACGCGTTGAGTGGAGTGTGCGCCTTAGATATTAAGTGAGGGGAAAAGCTAATTTAAAGCAGCTAATTTACATCGTTCGTTTGTAGCTTTACTTTGAAAATCTCTAAAACAACTTCCGCTATAGTCCGCCTGACTTGACGCGCTGAGTCCGCCGGGTTCAATGCAGACGGTGTGACGTCAGCCAGGGTCGGTCAGCTGGCTCCTCCATCTGAGCAGCAGCGAGAGCCTCTCCCATAGGGAGACATCACCATCAACGCCCGAGCCCGGCCCGCTGCGAGGGGGATCCAACACGGAGGAGACGACACAGTGGCGGATCGGGCGTCGCCGGGGGATCGGGAGCGTTAGATAATTTATGTAGCTATTTATTCATTCATTTATTTATTTATTTATTTCCGCTGCCAGCAATGGCCGGGGTCCACGGCTGCAGCTGCTGAAAGGCAGGTGCAGAATCCTCGACGAAGGCATTTGTCGTTCCTCGGCATGGGCCCAACTAGGGCCGGACCGCCGGCAGGCCCGCTCCACACCCACTAGTCCCCGGATCGGACGCTCTCTGCGGGGGTTGGGGGGGGGGGGCTGGGCCCGCGCGTGGAGGCGATACAACGGGCTGGGTGGTGCAAGCCGTGAGGGGGGGGGGGGGGGGGGGGTAGGCTCGTTCCATCAAGATATTAGAGGCAGTGATTTCAAGGTTAACCACGGCAACAGTTACCGTTCAGTGAATCTGTTGCCACGGCAACATGGCATAGGCTAATTCATTTCTTTATTCGATCAAAGACCCCTCGTTGGATGCGCTGAGCGGAACCCAGAGACGGTCTCGCCTCGACGGGCCTGAAAAAAAGAAAAACACAAACAGCTTAGCTCAGCCTCCTCATCTGGAAAAGAGAAGCCGGCTCCAGCTGCCAAGATGATGGAGCTGCAGATAGACGAGGTGGTCTACCAGGACGACTACGGCTCCGGCTCCGTCATGTCCGAGCGGGTGTCCGGCTTGGCCAACAGCATCTACCGGGAGTTCGAGCGGCTGATCCGCAGCTACGACGAGGAGGTGGTGAAGGAGCTCATGCCGCTGGTGGTCAACGTGCTGGAGAACCTGGACGGGGTGCTGACCGAGAACCAGGAGCACGAAGTGGAGCTGGAGCTGCTGAAGGAGGACAACGAGCAGCTCATCACGCAGTACGAGCGCGAGAAGGCGCTGAGGAAGCAGGCGGAGGAGGTGAGTCAGTCCCGATGGGCCGTTGGCCCGCATCACCACATCCACCCCGTCGGAACTGAGATGGTCCACCGGACATGTGACTCGGGTTAAGGCCTGAGGGTGAGCTTATTTTTAGTCTCAGTGCACTGTTGACACATTTTCAACACTGTCCTATATCAGGATGTTAAGATACCGTTTCTGTAGCAGGACTAAAGTAACACATTAAATACATATTACTTACTTTGTAGAGATGCATTTATTACATTACAAAGTAAAACAATATGATACAACAAATGATTAGACCACTCATTCTCTTTAGAATATGTTATAAGTGCTCAGCAAGTGTCAGAACCTCAGTTGTCAGAAAGGTAAGAACATAAAACAAGAACGTCCTGCACTTTTTATCCTTGATATGCATTCAAAGCATTAGCAGTGAGATGTTTGCATTATACGGCCACTCGTGTTGCTTTAAGAGATGAATACTGCTGAGTAAATACAGTATGTGTCTGTCCGCTATCCTACCACAGAAGATGCAAGTAAATGTTACTCAAAGATCATATGCAATTCTACTTCCTTTTTTAATAGTTAGTGTTCAGTCCAAACTGTCATAGAAATATATTTATACATCTGAATAACAGCATTTTAATCACTTTATAACTGCTCCTAACTGGACCTGTACGTTTTTAAAATATGGTTTTACCGTCAATCCTACTTCTGTTACTAATGCTACCAAAACCATTATTACTGTTGACATTGTTTCCACCACTGCAAATGTCAATACTAACTAACAACAGCTACAATATGTACGTCTCTTGTTTTACAACTTGGTGCTTGATGTTCTGCCCAGTTAAATGGTCGAATGCAAATACTTATGACAACACAAAGTAAGTAAACGGTCGTGTTCACACAGTGTGTAAAGTGACAGCACGCAGCTTCGACGGACAAAGTGTCGGACTCTTAGCGGGTGTTTACACATGAAAACACAAACAAAAAAGTTGACATCGATATGCAGCTATTATTTTTATCATATTATTATTATTTTACCGACTAAACTCCACCTCCAACAAATCTTATTTATCTTTCCTGCCCAGCGTTGCAGGCACTTTGGGACCGGCGTGCATCATAAAGCAACTTTAAGCCTCGTCCCATTAACAGAGAGCTGCAGCATGTCACTGTCAGCCCTGCTAGTATCGGCTTAACTCAGCTTGTAGTCTTCTCCCTCCTCTGCTCCATCCTCTGCTCCATCCTCTCCTCCATCCTCTCCTCTCCCACTCTGTCAGTTATCTAGAGAGGACCTGCTCGTTCATGTTACGATTTTAGCACATAGAAGCTTGTTTTAATGTTGTGATTTCTTTTTAAAAGGTAAGAGTTTGAGCTGAATGGACTGAGAGCATTACTTTAATTGATATATCCAAATGGAAAGTCAAAGTGCCTATAAAGTAGAAGGGAAAAAAGGAATTTACTGTAAAACAATTGGATATAGAAGCAACCGATTCACGCGTCTGGCTATCAGAGTAGAGAAATGGGGGATGGGATGACCTGCGATGGGTGGGGAATCATAGGAAATCAATAGTGCACACGGCGCACTGGGGGAGCGCGGCACGGTCAGTTGATTTGTATTTATTAGGAGCAGAAACGGAAAACAATAAAAAGGGAAACAGAGAAGTGGACTCGGGTTCAGAAAGCTGTAGAATAAATAGGCGACACAAAGAAAAGCCAGTGTGAGAGAGAGTCTCAGAGTCTGAGGAAAACAATAACACACCCTCTCGCAAGACACCGGGAGCAGCGAGCATAAAGCGGCTCAGATTACAGGGTTATTAGGCTCGAGCTGATGGTAAACAAAGCTCAGCTTCTGCGCATGGAGCCTTCGGCAACGTCCGCCAATCACTTTTTATCAATATGGCTTCTTGTCCAGTGCGATCAGAGTAAAATATCACTCATCTCTGATTATGCCTTATTGCCTTCTCTCTTAATGGGATTTGCTTTAATGGGTTGTAATTGCAAAACAGATTTTTTTTCAGCTTCAATTTCGTGGCCTGCAGATTCGAAATGGTGGCAAATGCAAGTGCGCTCTTGACATTTATCCTGAGAACTTATATATGATATGATACATATATGATGAGAAAATGACAGAAGCCGAAGGGACTAATTGGTTAATTTTCCTGCTGAAATTCACTCTGCATACAACAATCAAGTAGGGATTGTTGTTCTCCCCCGGTGCTACACAGATTAATCGGGTCTTGTATCATGCTGAAGGTCATTATGTTGAAGCTCTTTTGTGTGGTGGATATCTGCAGCATTTCCCTGGTTCCTGTCTCACTGCAGCCAGAGGATTAGAGTATTAAGACTTTGTGGACTTGCTGCACTGAAAAAAGGACGTCATTGTGAACAGCTTTGAATTAAAAAAAATAAATAGCAGAAGCAGACGGTATGACGTGCAGACGTGTTTCCTCAGTTACTGAGCTAGAGGCAAAGGCTTTAAATGTAACCTCTCATCCAAACACATACACTCAGTCTCTGACTCATGCATTTAGTCTCTGACTCATGTACTTTGTATTTGACTCAGGCAGTTAGTTTTTGACTTATACATTTAGTTTCTGACTCATGTACTTTGTATTTGACTCATACATTTAGTCTCTGACTCATGTACTTTGTATTTGACTAATGCATTTAGTCTCTGACTCATACACTTTGTATTTGACTCATACGTTTAGTCTCTGACTCATGTACTTTGTATTTGACTCATACATTTAGTATTTGACTCATACACTTTCTATTTGACTCATACATTTAGTCTCTGACTCATGTACTTTGTATTTGACTCATACATTTAGTCTTTGACTCATACACTTTGTATTTGACTTATACATTTAGTCTCTGACTCATGTACTTTGTATTTGACTCATACATTTAGTCTTTGACTCATACATTTAGTCTTTGACTCATACACTTTGTATTTTACTCATACATTTAGTCTTTGACTCATGCACTTAGTTTGTCTAAGTCATTCTGTGAGGTGATCGCTGCTTTGAACAATTTCACAAATAAATAAAATGCTGCGTATTGACCAGAAGCATCGTCATGTAATCTGAGTTTGTAGATATTTTTGTGTAAACGCCAGATTTCTGTTCTTGTGTCATCAGAAATTCATTGAATTCGAGGATGCGTTGGAAGCTGAGAAGAAGGACTTGCAGGTCCAGGTGGAGTTTCTGGAGCTGCAGGGGAAACAGCAGGAGCTCAAGACCAAGAACTACTCGGACCAGAGTGAGTGGACAGACATCCTCCTTCCTACAAAACCCTGGGATATTACTGCAGCTCCTGTGGCTGCTCGATGGGCGTTCCTGGTAGAGCTAAAACCATCACACCAGGACAGATACACTAAGAACATCCATCAAACATAACTTTAGATATGCAGGCACAGGTTGGAACTGACATCCAGTTGGGCCCGAAAAATAAAAAGTCAAACCATGTGGGATTGGCGTTGAGTCTAGTACTTAAGGCCTAGTCCCATTAGCTGGACATTAGCTCAGTGCTGAAAGGTTTTTTTTTAATTCATTTGTGTTAATTGCTCAGCAGCTCTTAAAGCTGTTTTTTTAAGTTATGACACCATTGTTCATTTGAAATACCTAATCAGTACTGCCGTACAGATTTTATGGGGTGTGTTTTTTATTTTTCTTCGACAACTGCCTTTTATTTTTTTTATTTTTCTGTCCGGAGTTCAGCGGCGAAATATTTAAATAATATAATACGGGCAAACATGATTGAAAGGATTTAGAGTTTTATAACTATCGGAGTCTGTCCTGGTGTTTCCCCGTCGTTAAAATGTTCTCTCTGCGTCTCCCAGTCACCCGGTTGGAGGAGCGAGAGTCGGACATGAAGAAAGAGTACAACGCTCTGCACCAGCGCCACACCGAGGTCAGCGCTTCTGTTTGTGTTCACGTCATATTTTAACAGCAAAATATTGTTATTGTCTGTATTGTCTCTATGAACATGAAGCTGTGATGATAATCAAAGAAATTATAATAAACATCCGACTATATCTGATGTACATATACTGTATATTGTATGTTTGTGATCCCCCATTTAATTCATTATGTATTGTAGTTAAATAATTTTAATCTTCTTAAATGCAACTCTTTTACCCACCAGTCCGGAGCATTTCTCATGCTTTTCCATCCTTAAACAATTCCCTCCACTTCTGTTCATCACAGATGATCCAGACGTACGTCGAACACATAGAGCGGTCCAAAATGCAGCAAGCAGGGAGCAACAGCCAATCAGAAACCCCCGGCTGTGGACGAACGTGAGTCCATTTAACGTGTGTTGGTGTGAAAAGATTGTTCGTGTATCTTTTTCCTTTTTAAAATGTTCACTCATCGTTGTGTTGCTGATGTTCTATGTTTCGTCCTGAGTCTACATTCATGCTCAAACATGCTCATTGTGTGTTGATGCTGCCATTTGTCTGTCACGAGCCACGACGAACAGCTGCCACTTTTCACCCTTTGAAAAAGAAGAGAGGAAACCATGAGCCCTAAAAAAGAGGGTTTGGAGTTTTAGGAGATGAGTCCTGAATATTAATTAAGCTCAAAGTAAAGAGAGGTGCGGCGTACGGTGCAGCTTCTGTAGCAGAGCCACAGTGTTCTGTGCATCATAAAGACTGATTAGATATACAATCAACATTTATGATTATCTGGAGTTTTAAATCAAATAAGACTGTGTGTGAGCGAATGATTCTATGTGTTCTCATGTGTCGTGGCACGTTCTCTAATCACGGTCTGTCTGTCTTGCTGGCTTGCTCTCTGTTGCTGCTGTTTGCACAGTCAACGCCACACATGGAGGAAAAGGTAAATCCAATATGGTCCCACATCTGCCCCAACATCTCCCCCCTTGCCTCCCCCCTAAGAACCGGTCCGCTTCACACTTAATATGGGACTTCAGATTTGCCCCTCATATTTTTTCCTCACCACAAGAAATATTTATTCAGCTTTGTCATTTGATGCTTGTGACAACAATTTATTAATGGGGTTGTATCAATAATGTTCCATTCTAATAACAAATAATGCTATGGGAAATGGGTCAGAGGTCATGTTAAGCATCAATCAAATTCTCCAGTTTTCTGCTCTTCCTCCCTCATGGCTGCAAGTCCGTCCGTCCGTCCTTCCGTCTGCTCTGCTTGTTTCATCTGTCATACTTCTGCCGTTAAATGTATTTATATTAAGCAATCAAGAAAGAGTCAGATTCATATAAAGCTCTACTATTTTATTTTCTGATAAAAATGTCTGCATTACACAGAGAGTTGAAATTTAAGCTGCACATATGAAGGTTCGTAAAAAAGCAAATCTGAGTAGGAAACAGTGATTTGCAAACATGCACACACAGCTTCAGGTAGTTTTGTTTCACAACCAACGAACTGCACGTAGTTAATCAGCTTTACAGGAGCTTCTTGTATCGTTCATTTATAGAAATGCATTTAGATGTTGTTTGTACGTCCAGACAGACATCGCTGAACCCATCGAACTCCATAAACAGAACAAGTTTATGCTGGAAAAGCTGTCCAGGTTTTTCTGCGCCTTGAATCAAACGCATGAAAACCTTCGGCCTCGGACAATAACAAGTTAAAAAAAAAAGGAAAGATTAATAAACAACAATTGGTGTCACGTTAATCTCCGCCCTTCTCTGTGTGTCCCGGGCCAGCAGCAAAGCGGATCGCCCTCCTTCATTGAGCCTGTACCCCAGCGGCGAGGGCATGGTACGTGGGGGTCTCGGGGGGGCTAAGATGATGCCCGGGAAAGACATCTGGCAGGTCAGCGAGCTCGGACGGTCTACCTTCTGCTCAGCCCATCAGGTGTGACAGACAGCGGCCGTGTCCTCCTACACGACCCCAGCCTGGGGAGTGGAAAGGGGAGGGGCCGGGCCTTACTGCTGCCCCTCCCCTTAACCACGCCCCCACGGATCACCTCCCCTCCCACCCCTGCTTGTGTCACTTTTGAGGAAACAGTTTTGTTCACATCACTCGGACAAAAAGTCTTATTGGTTTGTTCTATATGTTCACTCGAGCAATTTTATGGTCCATTTTATTTAATTTTACCGGCTGTGTCTTGATGTTTTAGTCCTTAAAATAAAAGTAAAGTAATTTACTTGAAAATGAATTCAGAACTCAGACTTGAGAGATTAATTTCCCTAAAAAAATGGCCACAAAAAACAACTAAATTGTTTTTATTCCTGAGTTTCAGCATCAAGAAATCCCTGACGCGTTATGTATGAAGACCACAGGTCATTCATGATGACATGGCTTTGAAATATTTAAATGAATTGTACCATATAACCATCGAGCTGCTTACAAGAAAGTCGTCGTTGACCCTTACTGGTGTTGGTGAAGGGTGTCACAGTGTCATGCAGTAGGTGTTACTGCCTTCACTACATAAAGCTCATAACACTGTTTGTCTCCTGCTCCCATGTCATCGTCTCCAACCCCCCAGGAGGACGGATCAGAGTCCGACTCTGTGGCGGCGACACCCAGCAGCACGGGAAGCAAGTCCAACACGCCCACCTCCTCCGTCCCCTCCGCCACTGTCACCCCCATCAACGAGGGCTTCCTGCCGCAATCCGAGTTCGACGCGATGCGCGCCGGGAACCGCAGGAAAAGTGCCAAGAGGCTCAGCCGGAATATGGAGGTGCAGGTTTCCCAGGAAACCAGGAACGTCAGCATCGGTAAGGGAGCGTTACCAAATGGGCTTTCAGACTGAAACAGTGATTCCCTTTCTGAGTATCCGAGTAATGCAAAGTAAAGCAAATAATATCATCCACAACAGTCCTAAAAGTATAAAAGCTGTGTTGTGTTTCTTGCATGTTTTTCCAGGTATGGGAAGCAGCGACGAGTGGTCAGAGTTTCAGGAGATCATTGATTCCACACCTGAGCTGGACATGTGCGTGGACCCCCGACTGTACGGAGGAGGCAACAGGTAGAAATGCAAATACCAAATAGTGAACATCGTCGCTCTATTTATTCCTCGTTGGAGTGTGACTGTTGTTGTGGTTTTTAGTGGCATTGAATTTTGAAAAAAGTTAATCTTTGAAAATCTCCCAGGCGACAAATGTTCAGGACTCCTCAAACATGTCTGATATTTTGAATGAATAGAAAAAGGTTTACAGTTGTATCCATACTGCTGTGTTCATATGTGCACGTTTTGGTGTGAGGACCAAATGCCGTAACTTAAAAGTACGAGTTTATTTGTTGTTTTGCAGATGTCTCATGACGCATACCGTGTGTTTCAGCCCCTCACAGGGCATAGTGAACGAGGCCTTCGGCATCAACACCGACTCTCTCTACCACGAGATCAAAGACGCCAAGTCGGACATCATTGGAGATGTAGACGCAGGCGCCGAGCTGCTGGGTACGAACGGGGCGTTGACTGCTAAAACGTCCGTTAGTTTAATCAGTTTGAACCTTAATCTCCTCTGACCCCTCTGGAGGTGATAACGTGAGACGTTACTCAGCCATCTCAGATTCAGTGTCCATCCTCGAGGGCGGGAAGCGAAGGCAGAATCACGCATCACGCCATCGGCTCCTGCTTTGCGTTGATTCGGGGGGGGGGGCGGGACCTGCGTGAATGTGAACGCATCTGACCTTTCACCTTGCATGGTGCCGCGCCGCAGCCCATCTCTGAGTCACATCATGAAAAAACAAAAACATCTGGCTGCACGCCAAACCCCAGCTGCCCATTCATGCAGTTACTTTGATTATTTATTTTCTTTCTTTATTTTATTGCACATTAAATGCTGATAAAACCGAGTTGATTTTATTGTTTCTCGGATGTTTCGCTCATTCATTTATCGTACATGTGATGTTGTGGTGGATTTAGTTTGTCGTGTTTTATGGGTTGTTTTGGTTTTAGATTGACCTTCTTGTCCATCTGATAACTTCTCACCCGTTTCTTTCTCCCCTTTTTATGTGCTTCTGCTGGTGACACCCATAGGGGAGTTCTCAGGTGTGTATCTGAACACGCAGTGGTTGGTATATATACATTTTTATTTTGTCAACCCGTTATAACCAGTGTCTACAAACTTAGGAATGGGCTCATAGCTGCTATTTCAGTACTAGAATGATATTTATTCATGGCTCGGTCGAGCAATTTCAGATATGTAGATGAGATTCCTTTACAGCTTTTTTGTGTTATTTTAAAGTCACTGTGAAATAATTGAAGTATTTTAGCGATTGTCACAAACTACTATCAGTTTGCGTTTCTTAGATTTTGTAAAAACGCTTACACATTACATCCCATTGGTTTAGAGACGTGCACCCAGCTTAACCTTCAAGGAAGTGCATCATTTAACGGAGGCAGGATGCTCCTAAAAAGCCTGTTTCACTGGGACTTTAATCTGATGGTATTTGATAAGGGCAGCTGTTGGGTCGCAGACGTTCCCTCTTGTTCCAGTTTGGGGGCCAAACAGCAGCCTTTGTGTTTTTTAGCCCAGCCGCCCTTCTTCAAGTCCACAATATATAACTGCTTATTAGCATCTTGTCTCTTCCATTCTTGTCCTTCTCTCTTACCTCTCTGATCTGTGGCCTCTCCTCTTCATCTCCCCTCCCTTCTTCTTCTTTTGCCTCCAGTTCGTGATGATTTCTTCGGTAAGGCGCTTTATGCCGATATCTATACGCTCATGGTCACATTTGCTTGTTGTGTCGTTCCCTGGCCTCCAGGGTTTTTTTTGTATGGCTTTGTAATCACATTTTGTGCCACTTGTGCATCTCACGTACCTAATGTTTAGATATCTGTGCTAATGAGCTGCTCGTTTAGAATTAGAAGACTCTTTTATGAGATTGGGACACTGAAAGAGAAAGATGCAGAAAACTGTCTTGGCTTTTTCTTTAGTTCTTTTTTTGTCATTTCCAAATCTTTCTCTGAGTTAAAATATCTGCTTAAAGTTTGTGTGCTTGGCTTCTGTTGCACAGTGCTTGCTGCTTGCACGTTCACTTTATAATTTAGTTCCAGCAACGATTAAAATAATAATAAGGATTTGATATCAAAGTCACCAGGTGTGCACTCATGGAACTGGGTAAAGCTTTGATCAAATGACATGATATATTTTGAGTGGAAGAATTGTCGTGGTTGTATTACACCTAAAGGTGATAAACTACTAAAACTTGAAATTGTACCCAAAGATTCTCTGTGTGGACTGTCTGAAAAGAGTCAGATAAATAGGAAAAATAACTTCAGTGTATGGTCGTTGTTCTCCCAATATTTACCACCAAACTGTTCTTTTTTCATACCCAATTTAGCTTCCCTGTTAATATGAGCGCTTCGATCAACAATGTGTCAATTCATTTTCATTTCATTTATAAACTTTTGGCTTTGGTGGAGGTTTAATTTGCTCCTCAAAGGACAAAAAGCAGTGTTGCCATGATAAAAACTGGGAAATGCATTTTACTTATCAACCAATGGATTTGTTTTGGATGTTTTGTTTTGCGTGTGAGGATTAACGGAGATGTGAACGTGACTATTTCAGGGATGGGCAAGGAGGTGGAGAACCTGCTGACGGAGAACAAACAGCTCCTGGAGACCAAGTAAGATGAAGCGTGTGTTTTCTGTGTTAGCGTTAATCCTTTAAACATTTTTCCCTTTCAGATGTTTCTGCTGCATACTGAAAGGTTTGATCGTGATGTTTAATTATCTGCATTTCTTCTGGATTCAGACAATTCAGTCAGCTTCTTACTTCCTTTCTCTCTCTGCACTTTGCTCGAACAGAAATGCTCTCAACATTGTGAAAAATGACCTTATTGCCAAAGTGGACGAGCTGTCGGGGGATCAGGAGGTGCTGAGGGAGGAGGTGGAGGCCCTCAGGCAATCCAAGAACAAGGTGGACGCCAGAGTCAAGGAGCTGGAGGAAGAACTCAAGAGGTGAAAACGTTGACTTCGAGCCAAAAGGAGAACACTGTCATAATGTCCCTTTTCCTTCCGTCTTTAGCTTCACTTGTTTAATCAATCGTCAATACTTTTGCATTTTAACTAGTTAAAATAATCTCACGGTACGTTAGAGACGCCTTCGAAAGGTTTAAGCCAGACAGGAAATGCATGGCAACACATTTTGGAAAGAAGGAAACTTGAGAGGATCAAACCATGTGTGTGACTTTCCCCTTCTTTCAAACAATTACCAAGAAACGGGCTGCTACGCTTGTTTCCTTTTTATATTATGTCATTCAGCCATTTTTCAGAAATGCAGCTCAGGACTTGCGACATCAACTCATTGCTGCACGACCACAAGTTCCACAGCCAGAGAGAAGAGATGCGATGTGTGTAACTGTGTTGCTTCTGGGCTGCAGGCTGAGAGCAGAGGCTCTCGGGATGTCCCGGGACTCCAAGGACGAAGGAGGTGATGATGTGAGTGAAAAATGGCTCGTCCCCCTCATATACATTGAGTTTTTTGGTCTGGTTGATGTGCGAAAAAAGTAATTTAATACATTAAAACATGACACAACTACTGTCGGAATACTGCACAAGTCACATCTTGTGCACGACTGAACAAATCGCTCCTGCGTGGCCAGTTTTCGTCCCCCATGCAGGACGGCGACATGACGATGACGCAGCGGCGGCGGTTCACCCGGGTGGAGATGGCCCGCGTGCTGATGGAGAGGAATCAGTACAAAGAGAGGCTGATGGAGCTGCAGGAGGCCGTGCGGTGGACAGAGATGATCAGGTAGACGGAAGCTTATCTTTTAAGCTCGCATTACGCCACATGCTCATATGTGTATTTTAGTGAGCTGATTTTCCGGTCTGTTCTTGTTTTGACCCTCTCACCTCTCTTCCCTCTCAGGGCGTCCAGGGAGAATCCTCAAATCTCAGAGAAAAAGAAGTCCACCATCTGGCAATTGTGAGATTTTACTCAAGCACATGGTTCACTGGTACCCTGAATTAATGAACTGGTTGATCCTCAAAAAGCGAAACCTCTCTTCCCCCCCCCCCTCCGTCCACCAGCTTTGCGCGTCTCTTCAGCACGTCGTCCAGCCCGCCGCCCGTGAAGCGGCCGTACTACAGCGTCAACATCCACTACAAGTCGCCCTCCCCCGCCGGCTTCTCCCAGCGACGCAGCCACACCATGTGTCAGATCTCCACCTCCAACCGCACGCTGGAGTTCTTCCCCGAAGAGTGAGCGCCCGCCGGCTACTTACCTCACCGCACCTACGCAAGCTCGCTGGCTTTGTTGCGGCCTGGAGATCAGGGAGCTTCCAGCACGCTCGCCATTACGCACAGACACACTTTCTTCAAATCTTGGATGGGTTGTTAATGCCTTCAAACGTCGTCATGCATGATTGAAGGAAATGTTGTGACTATTGATGTTGAGTTAAAGGCTTTTTTGGCTGTTGATGGAAGATAAGAGAAGGTCTTTTGGTAGAAGTTGCAAAGTTGCACATGGAACACTCATTTTTAAGAGAAAACAAGCTGACCTTCAACGTGATAAAAACATTTCTTTTACCTAAATATTTCCATTGTACGGCTGGATGTCGAATATCTCAAGTTGTTCTTCACCTCTCACATAAACACAGACGCACAAATACACACCGCTCACACAGACGTAGATAACTGCTGTTGCTTTGTTTCATTTCTCTCCTCCTCCTCTTCTCTTCGCTGCTGGCTGGCCAGGCTGCTAACGCTTCGCTGTTTTCTCTCTCTTCTCCTCCCCTCCTCTTCTCCCCTGCTTCCCTCCTCCTCTTCCTCCCCCCCGTTGCTTCCAGACTGGCCAGTAACAGTGTTGCGTCTCTCCTCAGCGACTCGGCACTGTTGGCCCGCCGAGAGCAGCGGCGCGAGCAGTACCGGCAGGTCCGCGAGCACATGCGCCGCGATGACGGCATCATGCAGGCCTGCGGCTGGAGCGTGCCATCCCGCTTCAAACCGGTACACACACACACACACACACACACACACACACACACGCAGACACACAAACCCGTCCTACATGGGCAGCGACCTCCCTGAAACTCCACATGCACAACAAAGACACACTAATTAGTTTGTATGAAAACGTTAAGTTACTGACAGACAGTTTGAGAAACTATTATGATTTCGAGCTTTTGAAATGATGAAATAATGTGGGTGTGTATGTGTCTTCATGAGGTATTCATGTTTGATTTTGGATTGAGTCTATAAAATGTGTGTTTTATTGACTATAAAACAAATATTTTTATTTTAAATGAAACCAGCCCCTGTGTGAACAGAGGAAAACACGCATTTACTCAGCTTCCTTCCAGTCATAAACATGATTTCATTGAGTGTTGGTAGGCGAGTGGCTTTAACTGCGCTCTCCCACAGCCCGGCGGTCAGACCGACAGCGCTCAGGAATCTCCGCTGAAGAGGCCACAGGCGAGTGAGACCGACACTGAACCTTCATGCACCTCCACCGCTTCGCTTCCCTCGCTTTTACCTTCCCGAAAACATATCCAGCAACAAGACAAGAATAAACCTGAATGAACAGTGGCAGCTAACTTCATTTCTTTTGTGTACTTTTGTTATTTCTGGTGACGACATGTCATCCCATCAAGTTATTTTCAACATTATCAAACGTGGTTTCATCATGGGGACAGTGTAATTCACCCTACTGACATCTTATCACCTCCTCCTGTTCTTAGACCACTGTGGAGAAAGAGGACAACCGCATGAAGAATGTCCCGGTGCCGGTGTACTGTCGTCCTCTGGTAGAGAAGGACCCCAACAGGAAGGTGAGGCCCTCAGAGGACGTGAACCAACATCGCTCTGCTCTAAGATGTGCTTCAATCGTCAGGTCCCTTGAATGTTTTGAAGAATGGTTCATGTGATGTTTGGGGCCAGAAGGATTTTAAGTTTAAAACGTGTAACTAAAATCCTGATTTGTGATTAAACAACTAGTATGGAAGCCGATCGTTAAATTACATCTGTGGCCAGGACCGTAAGTAATGAAACTGTTGGAGTTCGGGACAAACATCTCAGAGAGGCATGGAAGAAGAAGCATGGTCCTGGTTGCTGACCCAAAATGTGTTCGGGTGACACTTCCATCTCAATGTGTGTGTGTGTGTGTGTGTGTAGTTGTGGTGTGCAGCGGGGGTGGACCTGACGGGGTGGAGGGCCACCGGCCAGGAGTTGGTGCCGGCCAAAGCACCGTCGGGCGGCAGCGACCCGCTGCACGCCGAGGAGAACGGAGCCGGCAAGAAGAGCAGCCACAGCTCGCCGGAGAAGAGGAAGGTATCAAAACACAGGCTTCAGAAAGATGAAGAGCGTTTTTTTAAATGTCCCTCATAGTTAATCACAATGTGATGAAACCCTGCTTCCTCCTCTCCGCCCCCTCCGCCCGCCCAGTCAAAGGAGCTGCAGGAGACGGACGCCATGAACAGTCGAGTGTGGATCCTCACCAGCACCCACTCGGCCAGCAAGGTGGTCATCATCGACGCCAACCAGCCGGGCTCACTGGTCGACCAGTTCAACGTCTGCAACGCTCACGTGCTCTGCATCTCCAGCGTTCCAGGTGAGAGGGAACCTTGTTGTTATCAAAACCCCCCTACTGGTCTGTCCAGAGCTGTTTGGAAAATGCAAATGAGCACAGCCTATTTGTCAATATTTTAAGCAACTTTTCAGCTGAGAAATTGGAGTGTGTGTGTGCGTGTGAATGCGTTTGTGTGTGTGTGTGTGTGTGTGTGTATGTGTGTGTTTGTATCCAGCTGCCAGCGAGAGCGACTACCCAGCGGGAGAGATCGTGTTGGACCCGGGTGACGGAGGAGCAGGAGGTGGAGGCGACGACGCCGGCAGTGTGGAGGGCATGTTGGCCGGCATCACTCTCGTCGGCTGCGCCACCAACTGCAGCGTTGCCCGTAGCAACTGCTCCTCGCGCACGGACACGCCCATACTGGACAAAGGACAAGGTGGGATGATCCCCCCGCGATCGTAAAAGGTGTCAGGTTAACCAGTTGGTTCATTCGTGTGAACGGCGGTTTGCTTCAGCTCCCAGTGCTCCCATCATGAACGGGAAGATCCACCCGGCCCAGTCGGCCGAGGAGGCCACGGAGGCCACCGAGGTGCCCGAGTCCACGGCCAGCAACGCAGAGCTGAGATCTGGGCCCCCGGGACCCTTCACGGAGCACGTGTTCACCGACCCCCAGCCTCGTCTACCGGACGCCTCCGACAGGTGGGCGCCAAGCGTTTAAATGCGTTGTCCTTCTCTGACTGGAAGAGATAATCCAGCATGCCGTCCGTCCACACAGAAGTCAGTCCAAAGAGGAAACATCTCAGCCTGCGGAGTCGGAGGACGGAGGTGAAGAGAGCAAGAACTACACCAGCGTGGCCCCCACCATGTGGCTCGGCGCCCAGAACGGCTGGTGAGTCGCACAAAAATCCCACATTACAACCATTTCCTTCCCAACATTTTCACTGTTACGTTTCGCTGGAATCAGATGACTCTCTTTGTATCTCCATCCAAGTGGCACATGTATGCAGTTTGGTTTTCTTGCCTCTGTTCTCCCTCAAGGCTCTACGTCCACTCGGCAGTTGGAAACTGGAAGAAGTGCCTCCACTCCATCAAGCTCAAAGACTCGGTGCTCAGCCTGGTGTAAGTGGTGCTGACAGTTAGACTTCACAACGGTCCTCGAACGTTGCGTAGTTTGGTCCGTGTGAGTCCGTGTGAACTCCTGTAACTGCAGCAGCCTCCTTTCTCGACCGCAGACACGTGAAAGGCCGCGTGCTGGTTGCCCTCGCCGACGGGACGCTCGCCATATTCCACAGATCAGAGGGTGAGCTGCTATTTACTATTTAGACTGAAATCCCAAAAGATGTGTTTCCGCTCATCATCTCTTTGCTGCTTCACTGATCGGCAGTGACGTTGTTTGTTGTGCTTTGTGTTGACATGATTACAACTCGTAACTGTTAACGATCATTTTCAACTTTCAACAGATGGCCAGTGGGATTTGTCCAACTACCACCTCATGGACCTCGGTCGGCCCCACCACTCCATCCGCTGCATGGCTGTCGTGCATGACAAGGTTTGGTGCGGCTACAAGAACAAGATCCACGTCATCCAGCCCAAGAGCATGCAGATCGAGGTGAGTTAACGCCCCCGCTGAGAAATGAGACCCACATTAACGCACGAGCCCACCCCACTCAACGCGCGCGTTCACGGGCTGCGCAGAAGTCCTTCGACGCCCACCCTCGCAGGGAGAGTCAGGTGCGGCAGCTGGCGTGGATCGGTGACGGTGTCTGGGTGTCGATCCGGCTGGACTCCACCCTGCGACTCTACCACGCGCACACGCACCAGCACCTGCAGGACGTGGACATCGAGCCCTACGTCAGCAAGATGCTGGGTGAGACTCGGGTCTCTTCAGAGAGAGAGAGTTTACTGCCGAACGCGTGTTTTTGTTCTCACGCGCCTTCTCTGTTCTCCGTTCTTCCCTCTGGTTGTGAATCACAGGCACCGGCAAGCTGGGCTTCTCTTTCGTGAGAATTACCGCTCTGCTGATTGGTGGGAATCGTCTGTGGGTGGGAACTGGAAACGGCGTGATCATCTCCATCCCACTGACCGAGAGTGAGTCCCATTGAAGCGTTGTGCGTCCTGTGTTGAATCTGAATCGCGGCGCCACCACGTGGTACACCTAACAGGGTTCCGTGTAGAGAACGTTGTTCTCCTGGTTTCCTGATCGCATCGTGAGGCAGCTAAACGGACCACGTTGCGGCGACAGACTTCTCCCTCTTCGCTTCTTTCCAGCCTCCTCTTTCACAGACGTTCTTAGTCTTAACTGTTACTGTCCTCTTTCTCCTCTGCTACCCCCCCCACAACCCCCACCCCCCTTCCTCCACCTACCTTCTCCACCTCTGCCTTCGCCTTCTGTAGCAGTGGTCCTTCACCGGGGACAGCTCCTTGGTTTGAGGGGTAAGTGGGAGCCCCGCCCCCCCTGCTGACGTTGTGATTTACCTTCAACCCCCCCATGTCCCCTGCTTCAGTGTCTGCACTACAGATTACATTGGATATTAGGCCCTAAAACAGGCGGCAAATGATTCTTGTTGTTTTGACTTTTTACCGGATGTATGTGAGCGGGGCTGCTACTCATCGGTTGCTTTGCATGTTATTATTTATTTATGCATCGAAGACTAAAAGATGTGTTTTTGTCTACCGGATCCATTGCATGGACAATATGTGCTTCTTTTTGTTGTATTATAATATTTCTTCTCATTTTCAGTTGATCTGGGGAAATATTTGGATTTTGTGGGTCTTTTTTTGTTTGTTTTACTTGTATCTTCCGCACATGATTTACTATTAAAAACTGCTGGTTGCTTAGTTTTTTCCCTCCTGGGTTCTTTACCCCTCAGCCAACAAGGTGTCTCCCACGTCGTCCAGTGGAGTGATCCATGTGTACGGGGACGACGGCTCTGAGAAGAGCACCGGCAGCTTCATCCCTTACTGCTCCATGGCACAAGCCCAGCTCTGTTTCCATGGACACCGCGATGCCGTCAAGTTCTTTGTGTCTGTACCCGGTGAGCAGAGTCTGTACCTGTCTGTGTCGGCCAATGTGGCCACGTTCACTAAAAGGCTTTTGTTTGTGTCATGCTGTGTCACGTTTTTCTTTCTTTTTTTCTGGTTTTGTTCTGTCAGTTACTCACAAACGTCTGTCTGCTTAAAATAAAGCAATGACGTTTGGTTTTCAAATCCTTACCTGACCCCTTTTTTTTCCTGTGTGACAGGCAACGTTCTGGCCACGTTGAACGGCAGCGTGCTGGACAGTCCGTCGGAGGGTCAGGGGTCAACCGCGCCCCAGGAGACGGAGGCCCAGAGCGTTCACAACGTGTTGGTGCTGAGTGGAGGGGAGGGCTACATCGACTTCCGTATAGGTGAGAGGTCACAGCACACAAACCTCATGCCACACACACACACACATACACACACACACACACACGTTTGCGTTATTCAATTGATTTAATTCAATCAATTTTCTGTCCCCCTGTCTTCCTCAGGAGACGGAGAGGACGATGAGACGGAGGAAGGAGACAGCGGTGGAACCTCGCAGGTCAAACCCGCGTTGTGTAAAGCCGAGCGAAGCCATATCATCGTCTGGCAGGTGTCTTACATACCCGAGTGACCCCTGGATCTGCTGTAACACCCGCTCATCTCCTTAACGAAATCCCTTCCTGCCCCCCAAAAAAGCTTCCAGCCAGCCAAACCTTGTAATTATCCCTGGTGCTGTAAAAGTTCCCCCAAGGCTCTGAAAACGACCCCTCAAAGCCGCGCACTGACCCGTGTAACTATTACGTCCCCCCCCCCGCCCCGTCACCGTGTAACTTTAACGCCTTGTAAGTACCTCCTCCGATGTAGTATCTGCCTGCCATCCTGTTCCTGTCCCACCCGGGGCCTTGTAACTATCTTCATGAAGCCTTGTAACCCGGCCTCATAACTACCTCCCTCCTCTGTATCGCTCTTATATTCACACTGTATCTCCTCCTCTATTTACCTGGATTGTCCTGCATCTGCCCCAGAGTTACTCCTCTTCTTCCTCCACTTAAGTTTGTCAGCTGTGAAGCCTCCACTTCCTCTTGTTGCGAAGCCCAGGGCCGCATCATTATCGTACCAATAACTAAAAAAAAAAAACTAAAAGAAAGGTACAGAAATATGAATAAAAACGCAGACTTGCATTCCCACCTGGAATCAGATTTCTTGTTCTAACCGCCAATCAGAAAGCCTTGATTGATAACGCCATCGTATGTTCAAGTGGGTTTTCGGGGGATGAGGCGTTTACAGGCCGGCAGGCTTCGACGGCGTGTGAGAGGGAGGACAGATGGAGGCGGCGTACGGAAGTCCTGTTTTGGCTTTAACGTTCTAGCGTACAGCAAACGCGTTCGGATCACATTTTACAACAACAGCATGGAAGGTCCAAATTTAATTTCAAGACAAAAGTTTGGGCCCTTTTTTTGTCTGTTACTCTAAAATATTTTGCATCCAATGTTGCCTATTTAAAGAGGCTCGATCAATGACTTTCTACCCGGATTAAAGAAAACCCCTCGTGAGGACGAGACGACAGACAGGAATCATCTGGCGACTGATGTGAATCAAAGAGTCAGGCGCACAGCTGGAAAAGCAGTCAAAGGGGTGTTTTTGTTTGACCTGTCGAGGGTCTCATCCGACAACATGTAAAGCAGATGATGAGCAGTGATGTGTTGTCATTGTGTGTACAGGGATTATTGTAAAGGTCCAGAGACACTGAAGCCCATCCTCTCTGTTCAGTGTGACTTTCATGCATTGATCTCTTATTTGTGTGGATTAAATATTAAACATATTTGTGTGCTGACGAAACGTAGTTGATGTGTGAATTACTTCACGAAACAAACGTACCTGAGTCAACATAAAGGGATTCCGCGCCAGATTTATTGGTTTTGATACAATTCATACAGCATCTTAGGATTTCAGAAAAGCACAGATGTGACCTAAGCAGCTATTGGTAAAATTACAATTTTATACAACAAAATATATTAGTCTATTTAATTCAAGGCAGTTTGTCCTTAATTTGGAAAAACGAGCCTGACAACGAAACCTTCTACCTTTTACATTCAAGTATTCTCATGTCAAGTGATCTGAACAGAATTCAATTTAAAAGCACAGTACACTGAAACGTGTGTGTGGAAAGGCAATAAAGGTGTTGGTTGATTGCTGTTAATTGTTCTCTTTGGAAGAGCTAATACAGGAGAAACATTTTTATTTGGATGACTTTTCACTATAACAAATATGAGTTTATTCACCCGGGACGAAGAAAAAAAACACACTGAGGTGCTCAACAATTCGGCTGCTGTGTAACTTAAAACACTTTGCATCAGCTGCTTGTTTCTGTAGAAATGAACCTTCATGGTTTAAATACAGCCATTCCCTGATAGGTGAAACCTCAAACATTATGAACGACATACATATTAAAAACTACAAACCCAAGCATCCGGACTATACAAAGAATGGAATAAAAACCGTAACAGAAGCACACTGTTACGCATGAAGTTATTGCTCACTTAGAGACAAAACTCACCTCAGAAAGGTAGAGAGAGATGCATGATGGGAAGCGCTTACATGTTCTGAGGGTGAGATCCATCCAGTGCTGACACAACCCGCGGTCTGGCTGCAGGTCGGAGGTCACACGGGTCGTGCAGGCGCTCAGCTGTAGATCCAGTGGCTGCTGCTGTCCTCCCAGCAGTGAAGCTCGTTCTGTTTGAACCACAGAGAGATTTCTTTCCGCGCGCTCTGCACCGAGTCGCTGCCGTGGATCACGTTCCTGCCACGCGCAGCCAGAACAAAAACATATTCACAACATCAACCTTTTGATTCATATTTTACACGAGGGATTTGAATACTGTTTGTTACTATTAGTAATAAGCTTTTTAGGACTTTTACTATAACTATTATTATATAGAATCCTTTTATTATTATCTATAATATTATAATTAGATTTCTTTTCATGACGGTTTCTGACATACTGTACTTCTTTTCTTTTAACATAATATATATTAACTTTTTTGGCATGCTATGAGTTTACTTTTTAATGATCGTTTTAAATTCTATAAATTATAGGTAAGATTCAACATACATTACTATGATTATTTTAGGATTTATTTTAGAAATATTTTATATATAATATAATACTATGGTAATTTTCATTACTTTTTAATATACCATACTATGACATTAGACAAACTATACTCTTTTTTTGGTAGCATATACCACGCCATTTATTTTATAACATTTTTAAGACAAACTGAATTTTAATGACAACCACTAAGCACAACTTGATCAATCAAAACCAGAATTCCTTGAAGAGAGATAGAAGGTATTCAATACAAACTGGTAGCATTAAAGGAAAAGGGTGCCGGTTTCTGCCTGTTTCAAAAGTGTCTGTTTTTCACACACTCCCGTTGCCCAGCGGGACACTTAAAAAAATGATGCACCCACACTTTTGGTCACAACTATTTTTCCTAGTGTGACCAGTAAAAATACCTCCTGTAACTAAGGCCTCACATTTTCCTTCAGGGAAGGAGAAGCGTCATGTGATCGTACCTGCCCACCTCCACGCAGAAATCCCCCCGGATGGTTCCAGGCAGCGAGGCGGCAGGGTCCGTCTCTCCCAACATCTTACGTGCGGTCTTGACGACGTCAGAACCTTCCCACACCTGAACAAAGACACGCACATGAGCTGATGGGACAAGCATGTAAAACTGCTCATTCAAAACGAGCTGCTTTTATTTCATCTTTTCATCCCGAGGACCATCTAACGGCTGCTGAGTTCCTACTTTTCACTGTACGCCATGACTTATTACGCAAGTAATTAGCAAAAGCAAACTCCCTCTGAGTATTTCAACGCCTCTAATATCGTGTGGACGCGTGAACAATGTGCAGGAGAATCTCACCATTGCTACCATCGGTCCAGAGCTCATGTAGCTCATCAGATCCCGGAAGAAGGGCTTGCTCCTCAGGTCCCAGTAGTGTTCCCTCAGTAGATCCTCAGATGCCTGAGGACACACGCAAAAAGAAAGAACACAATTAATTCATTATATTTACAGTGTTCATTTTATTTGAATCATGGATGAAAGTAGTTTTGAAGTAGTGGCTCAAGAGAAGATAAAAGTCCTTCATCCCAATTACCTGCACCAGCTTCAGGCCGACCAGTTTGAACCCTCTCTTCTCAAAGCGCCACATGATTTCTCCCACCAGTTTCCGCTGGACGCCATCCGGCTTCACGGCAACAAAGGTGCGCTCATTCACACCCGTCCAGCCTAGGATCAGAAATACACACGATATAACACATTCATTTATCAACATTTAATCTGTGTTGAAAGACACACATACCAACTCCCACGTCAGCAGCACATGCACAAGATCAGCTTAACAAAGACTAGAAGCATCTAGTTCAAGGAGTGATTATTAGATTAAATTTTCCCCTCAGGTTTTTATCAGTCGTCCCTCGCCCTCCTTGCTTGTATAACTTCCGGAGATAAGAACATTATGTCAGATGAAGCTTACTTTGATAACACTAATCCTCTCACTATCGCAGCCTAGAACGCGTCTCCATAACGTAGATTTAATAAACAATTAGTTCAAAGACACCGACCTCCTCCTGACGCCCGGTTAACTTCGCAGCTTCTTTTTGCGAGCACAGCCTGTTCTGTTCACCTGTTAAAGCGTAACACCGGTGTTACGCTTTAACAGGCGAACCTTTTAAACTGCAACTCCGGTGTTACGGTTCAACAGGCGAACCTTTTAAACTGCAACTCCGGTGTTACGGTTCAACAGGCGAACCTTTTAAACTGCAACTCCGGTGTTACGGTTAAACAGGCCACGCTGATAAAAAACGTACCACCGGTGAGGTGACGTCAGCATCTCCAGCTCACGCCGAGTGGAAACTGTGGAAGTCAAAGTAAACAAATGGCGAATGGCGCGACAAGTATCGACGGACTTTGCACCAACCTGGCTGGAAGACGTATGAAAGTATGGACAGAATCAGGCAGATCATTGTGACGCCGCTGGACGGGAAGAGCGACGCACTGCGAGGAGGAAGGGATGAAGATTTACGCACGCACGCGCGTTTTGGAATGCTTCCCAGTGCGCGTGCACGTGGCGTCGTGGCGCTCACCGTCAGTTGGGATCCATTTCCGCCGGGATTTATTTAGGATTATTTGTGTTCAATAATAGATTCAATGGTAATGTTAAATAATGTCAAATAGTGGACGTCCTCACTATAGAGCCAGATAAATTTGTTTTAATGTCTGCATAACCTCAGAGGTTATTTTACAGATTTCTGTGATATTCAGATATTCCTGTGATATAATTATATGGAGACATTAATCAGATTATTACACATCTGATAATTCAGTAGTTTGTTTTCAATTCATTTTTGCATACTTAAAAGTGAAATGTCAGGCCCCACTGCAATACTGTTTATTCATGGAACAATCGTGAAGCACATGTGGAAGAAAGTCATATTCACAACCGTTCCAAATCCCAGCTGTGTATCCAGTAATTCTGACAGATTAAGTTCCTACTCAGGGTGGACATGGGAATTTAATCTCCATTAACACATCTATTTCATTTTAGAAATGAGTAATATTTCCTGTAAAATATATATTTAGTAGAGTAGTGAAGATGTCAAGAGGACAATTGTATGAGGATTAAAATACTGGACATTGAACAGAAGACCATATTATTCAAAATTACCTTTCAAAACAATAAAAAAAGAGGGCCCTGCTTGATGTGTCAGAGCGCCCATGGTTTCCCAGTTATGATTACATTACGTGTGATTATAATATATCAAAAGAGGGTCTAATCAGGCAAACCACAATTGTTAACACGTTTGCGTACCGGGTAGACTTCTATTCTGATGGTGTTTTCAAGATATATAGGAGTTCTATAGTCAAGGGTAGTGTACACTCTCAGAGCAATGAGTCTGTAATCCCCATAGGAAAGTACCATAATGCAGGTAAATCAAACAAAAAACATGACAGCAGGGGTATTTCACCTTAATATTTAATATTTACCACAATGCATAGACACATCACACTTGTAGAGACCTACTACAGAGAAGTCATTTGAGTCCAGGACTTATCAGGACATTGAGCTGACGGATTCCAATGCACTTGCACAGAAGACGTTGAGACCTCTGTCAACATTGATTTGGTCCAAAATGTCCAACGTTTCATCTTCAGCAACACAATTATCACACCGCTGTCCCCTCCGTCCTCTGCGCCTCTTGCTCCTGACTGCGGAAATAGTCTTTGCTGAGCAGGACATCCCTCTTTAAAGGCAGGACGGGCTCCTCGGCCAATACGGCGCCTGTTGCCTTCTTGTGCTTAGCCAGCAGCATGGCGCGCAGCAGGGGAGGGTAGGGGACGTAGCGCACAGGCGGCTCAGGGACCGGCTCAAAGTCCTTGAACTGCTGCTCCATGTGTTTGGGAACCAGGCGCCAGTCGTGGTACATTACCTTGTCCACCTCCTTGACCTCGCTCTCCTGTTTACCTGCCGAGCAAAAAAGTACTACAGTCAGTAACTCCGGAAAGGCTGATGAAAGGCTGCTTTTATCACATCACAGAACATCCAACAAACAGGGAACACGCTTACCTTTGAGGGTGAGGATCCCCCACGCTTTGCCATGATCCATGTTCTAGAAAACACAAGAATCAGGTGTAATTGGGTTACATGTATATCCAGCAGACATCCTAACAAACAAAACATTTTTACACCTGCATGAAAATAGACAGACCAAAAACTCAGTAGTGGTGCATGGAAGTGGACCCGCTCTCACCTCAGAGGTGTAGTCCACCTTGACCTTGGTGATCTGCCAGTAGCTGGGCTCTGTGTGGTCCTCCAGCCAGGACTTGCGCGTAAAGAGGCGGCCCACTCCGAACAGCCTCATACCTGCCAGCAGGGAGAAGAGGCGACTCTCCCTGCGGACATCCTGCCAGGCCAGCACAGGCAGCATCTTCCCTGTGTGGGGCCGCTTCATCGTGCCGTAGTCCAGGGCGTATTTCTGTGACTCACGCGGCCGGGACTTGAGTTCTCGGTACGCCCGGATCTTTCGGGCCATTTCTGCTATGAGACGAAGTTGCTTTTTCTTCGCCATGACTGATGCGCGGCTGCAAACGTTTCTCCCCGTTACTCCCGGATCAACACCGGTCAATGTTTATCCTGCAAGAGAATAACGCCAGTTATTTATTTTTATTTTTTATTTACATCCGAACGGAGCAGCTCTTTGGTTACAGGGGGAACTAATTGATGTCAAGCTCTAAACATGGGGAGAATATAGACATTAAAGCCTTGAACGTTTACAAGTCTAATCAGTATGTCAGATATTGTCACTAAGTGATAATAGAAACAAGGACATCCTTTCCTCCCTCCCTCTCTCTCTCTCTCACACACACACACACACACACACACACACCGAATACGTTTTTTTACCCAACAATTTGCCATTTATCGATACTTTTCAAACTCATAAATCACAAACTAGGAGTACCTGAATGTCACTGACAAGAACGGCTCAACACGACCTCCGCAAGCGACGCAGGAAACTTCCGTTCAGTCGGTCCGGCGGCAAAAGGTTCCGTGGAAACTGTGACTGCGCATTTGGTTCCGCGGTGGAAAAATCAAGTAGGAAACCAGCTGACGGTGGCAAATGACACTTTCTTCTTCTTCTTCTTCTTCTTTTTTGTTTACTGGCAGATCGCACCAACTTAAAGGTGCATATACCGCCACCTACTGCACTGGAGTGTGAGGCCGGTCACGGCCTCCCTTCTATATCCTGTTGTACAGCCCCGTGTTCCTGAGAAAAATAAATACTGCCTTCATTACTGCCTCCTTCCCTTTTCCACCCCCAAGCACCCCACCTAAGTCCCAGCCCCGCTTTGTCTCCCTGACACTACCATACAACACCACCCTCTCCTTATCATACCTCCCACAGACAAACAGTACATGCTCAACTGTTTCCACCACCTCACAT